ATTACTATCTAATGAACAAAGTTGTCTACCACTTTGATATCACTTGCCACGTCTCACATAACTCATATAAACTTCAATAATTAATAACGACATACAAGTAGCGACATATAGAATATATATTAATTACATATAGCTGTCGCTTGCTTGTGTGTATTTTCATGTCAGTTTTATTATTTTTTATGACCGCGTGTTGCTTAAATGTTGATCGACAAAACATTCCTCAGGAGTTCTAAATGTAAAGAGTTTCTTGGTTTATCTATTTAATTATTAATCTTATTCATTTCCCACACCAATTTATTTGGACTTAAATTAAGGCTTAAGGCATTAAATGTTTTCAGCAAAAATTAAGATGTTTGACTATGAAGATAAATAATGTGACTACAAATAAAATGTGTCAAGTTTATAGCTGGAGCTGTGCGCGACCTGATGAATATTAAAAGTTAGTAAAAGCATGACATCGAGAAGCGCTGGATACCAGCGGCGATAATGTAAATCCAACAGATACTCAATGAGTTTCCAAAATGCTCTTTTAAAACATTAAATTGCCTACGAACGCACAAATTGTTCATTGAAACATTTTTGAAGTATCCGAAAAAGAAGATGCTATTTTAAACAAATACAACAAAAAATATTTTTAAAAACAAGCTACTCGTTAAGACGATTCAAACGAGCCCAAATCGATGAGGTTGTGATGTTTCATTGCGAAAGTTCCTATGGCCATCTTCGAGCTTCAACATCAGATCAGCACCATCATAATATTGCATTGTCATGCGATTTACACAGGATGCAAAATTTCAGCTCAATAGCCGAGAAGTGGATCTTTAATTTTCAAGATTTGATGACAAACACGGGTCTGATGATACCAAATAAAACCTAGTAATTTATTTAACTCGTCCAATGCCAGTAGTTACACTTATTATTGTGTTAACTTTTAAATAGGTAAAGGTTTTATTTATAGTGAGTGCAGATAGTAATAAAGTGGTGAGAGAGAGAGAGAGACTGCGACGTTAGCGGCATCTCATCAGTTATTCATTGAATCCGATCGCGGAATACTTTATGGAATTGAAACTCATCTTACAATATACATACTTACTTACAGTAATATTATCTGTCCATAACATTGATGTAACTTTGTCACAACTATTATACATTTTTAGTATAATGAACTAAGGGCCTTCTTTAGTGAGTGTTGCACTCATTGCGCTGATGGAAATTAAAAGTGGTTCTTCGTGTGACTAAATACAAAAGTAAACTTGCATCTGTACTGTATTGCGGCGAATCTGTATCTAAAACTCAATATGTAATCTGTTTGTAACGTATTTTTGAACTATGAAAAAAACTTTCATATGTCGTATTAAATGTAATCGATTGGCTTCAGTCAATGAATACGTGATGTCTGCGGTAGAGGGTGCGGTGCGCGCGGAGGCCCACTTTGAGGCAGGACCTTTTTAATATTAATAACATGTCCTGCAAACATTTGATTTATTTATGAAGTAACGTATGACAATTTTCATCGGCTGATGGACTATCTTTACTGTATGTTATGTAATTCATTCTTTCTATGAAATATAAAACATCGTAACCAAACCTCACGAGTTTACAATAGTTTCCACCCTGTAGTAGTTAGTGTCAATATTGTTTCCTTGCCGTGAGAAGCATCTGTCATATTCTTTTTGAATGAAATAACATAACAACATGTTGTGTACATATGTATCGACAGTGAAATCTTAACGGATATCTTCACAATCTTTGGGCGTAGTTAAATAAAACAGCACAGTAATGAGTCGCGGCGTTGCGGCGCGGCGCTCCGACAGACAATGTCAATAGTTATGAGCGCACCACTAATTACATCTCTACATACAAACTAAACTGTTACATATAGCTCTAACTAGATAATTAAACTCATGATATTATCATTACACATGTAGATTATGAATGTTCAAAATGAACTGCCAAAGAATCAATTTTAAAATGATCTGGTTAATTATTAAAATAATTTTATCGACACTAACAGTATTTCCCTTGTTTGAACTCCGCTTTACTTTGAATTATTAAATATAATAAAACGAAGCAATGTAATCTATTCCGTATTAAAATTCATAATTTTATTAAAATATTTTATGTTTTTAATTTGAAAGAGCATCTCACCGAGGCGCGGCTGTGCGACGCCAGCGCTCAATAATTCTTGACATGGAAGCGATGAAACGAAAACAACTGTTATCCAACCTTATCGTCTCCATTATATTAATACATAATTATAATATACAAATGAAACTTTTAATTATAAAATTATAAATGTAAGAAGAAAAATCACACAAACAAGAATAGTTTGAACATTGATTATTAATTATGTATCTTGTCACGAGTCATGCTGTTCACATAACTTAGTAACAACGTAATAAAATCTTAAAATCGTTCAAAAAGCATTTGAAATGATACAATGTATCACAGTACATACATACACAACGAAAACTTAATTTTTATTCGTATTAATTAAAAAAAGTATGGTTTAAATCTTACATTTTATTATCGACAATCACAATCTCAATCAAGGATCCCGAGGGTCGTAAAAATTCAAATTATCATCTTATTTGCAATCTTTTGAGGTCCGGACCTCTGCGCGGCTCTGGCGGCGCTGGCACAGACAAACGCAATCTGAGGTTTGTTGGAGGGTCACATGTACGTTGCCATGTAGAAAAATTACAATGAATTGCATTAGAACCACATTTCTGTAGGTGTGTGCGACTACTACCATGACAAAGTTATTTTGACGTTCAACAAAACATCAGTAGGTGATCTTTTTTTTAACTTATTTATTGCAGGTTTGTGCAGACACATTGGTACTACGCTATAAAATGTAACAGTAGGTAAGTAGCTTGATCAATATTTTCAGGTCTATTCATATGTTTGTCTATAACTTTCCCCACAAATATAATGAAACTGTCTATCGAAGCAGTATTAATATTTCCACGCGTACTAATAATGTGTTACAGGAGCACAATAAATTGCGAAGTGAACACTTTGTATGTCAGATAAATAGCTGCCTTTGTCTGCCTCCAGCTGTTTTAATTATTATTACAGTTAAGATTGTTATGCTATAACTATAATGAGTTAGTAAAGTATCGACCGGAGTAACCGTGGGCTTACACTGCTCCTTTGTCTGCACCAAAATAAATTCTTATCTTAACAGAATGATTGGGATCACAATGTCTTTTGTGTAGTTAAAGTATTCAAAAAAGAACGAAATGTTTACTATCAAAGCTGACGAGGAAAATGATAATGTAATTGCAACTAAGTACAACTTCAAGTTTATCGCCAAAATAAGCGTATTTCATGTATTATATTGTCAAACCCCCCCTCCCCCTCCACCACCACCACCGCCACCACCTCCCCGCCGACCGGCACCGGCTGAGCTGAGCTGATCTGAGGTAGGCGGAGGTGTTGTGATGAAAAAAGTTTTATGAACGAAAATTACTTCGCCTCGAGCCGCAGATTCAATTAATTTACAACAATAATTATGTAACGAGGACAAAAATACGCAACAAACATTTTGTAATACAAATATAAGTATTTATTTTATATCTTGTGTTTCAAAATCATATAAATACATAGTGAGTGTAAATGAAGACAAGTTGACCTTCGTTTTTTTATTTATTAATTTGAGCGATGTCATTTATTATGACCTAAAATGAAAATGTTTGTTGTCCCGTTGGCAATTTTTATCCATTTAATTGGTAAAATGATATCAGCTCTACATTTTATATCTAAAGTTTTAGATTAAATGCCAGCAATGATCTCAATTCTTCTATTACAATAATCGATTTGCTGAATTCATTTTAATTTTTAACTATACTAGTAGTTTCATTGTACGAACATAGCGCAATGTTCTACGAGAACATATTTTATCAGCTACATAGCGAATGATGACAGCTCAAAATTAATTTAGAACAGATTAATAACTGAAAAGTAGGGCACTACACTACAATTGGTTGATTTATCTGTCTTTGACACTATGAGTGATTATTGATAAAATATTCAGAAAGGAAAACATATATTAAGTGAATTAATGAACTTCCAGTCCTTTTTCTAACAGTTGTTTGTATATGATTCACTCTCATATAAGAAAACACGTGTATGTATGAAACTATACCACTTGTGTGATGTTAACAGCACGCAGCTACGCTGTATTTTCGTTTATTAGTGATTTCCCCGAGGACACAGGAAGGTGAGTCGCGCCAGATAAATTTCCCCGCGCCTACACTGTACGTCGTTCTGCTTCTAGCACTTTCTAACAAATAATGCGACCTGCGAACTGGCAGCCACTAAAGAATTCGCATCTTTATCTGTAAATATTTTATTCGGAAAGATATTACATTACATTTGAATTCATATATCAGGTTATTTTACGTTTGAGAATAATAACTGAATAAATACCTATTGCGTGGCAAAACGGGATTGGACATTGTAATGTTTATTTTTAAATTAAATTAATTTATTTACAGAGACAAATATTTACGTAATTATGCGATGTATTAAATAATAATATAGCTGTAGCTATTTATCTACACTTCGCTAAAACTGTAGAGCAAAATTTTACTTTTTTAAATTTTTATTCTTCATTTATTTTGTACCACGCCATCTATGTGTAAGGTTTCTAAACACAAGTGTCTTCCAAACCTTTTTCACATAGGTTCCACTACAAACTTTCAAAGTGTCGCTAGATGGCACTGTTTTAAGTTTCATGAAACATCCAGATAAATATTGTATTTTTATCGAAGCCAATTAAAAAATTAAACGACACGAAAGTTGTTTCTCAGCGGGCAAATGTATTTTTAATTATTTCCTTTTTAAAGAGTTACTTTTTCTTTGCAGGATACACATTTAAACAAGAAAGCAATTAACGATATAACAATTAACTGCGAAACGTGATCATCTTATCGATACTAAAACAACCACAAGCTTAGTCTGTTTACTTAGTTACAAATCTGGCGCATTTTGAATTTATCGTGCATTTCCAATTAACGTTGATTGTTTTCTTTACTTTACCGAAAAATGGTTTCCCCGTACTTGTTAATAATCTCCTTTTGGCTTATCTGGGTGCTGTTTAAGAGATGGCAATTGAGACGAATTATAAATCATTCTAAAGTAATAGGCAGCAGATATCCCGCACTGCCGCTTATAGGTCATGGATACTTGTTCGCAGGGAACGGGGAAGGTAAGATGTATCATTGCGTACAATTGTTTTGTCCAACCAATTTTGTTTCAGAGTTTGACCCAGCGCAGTGTGTAATCTTAACTAACCTTTCTATATTTATTCTTAAATAATATCGTAAAAAGTTTTGCTAGTGAAAATGTGTTGTTTAATTTTTATATCACTCTCCATAAGCTGAAGGTGTATAGATATACCAGCATAATCACTATATTTATTACAGTTCGAATGAATGCTTTCAAAAAATTTGGCGTCGAGGCTACAAAACACAACGGAATGACAAGCTTGTGGTTAGGTTATGACTACTATACAGGTATCAATTATTAATTTATACTTGCTGTTGTCATCATACTTTTAATAGTTTAATGTGATGATATTCATGCTGTCACTACACGTATTCATCTTCTCCCTGTCCGTGTTCCAGTCGCGTCGGTCGGCGCACGAGCTTTCTCTCCATTCCAATCTACCTTCAGTCATCTCAGTCGTCACTCCCTTCTAAATCATGTAACTACTCGTTTTGTTGCAGTTATTTCGGATCCTGTGATAGCTGAGGTGATTATGAAGTCTTGCCTGGAGAAGGGCTACCTCATGCAAGTGTTCAGCCATCTCCTCGGCAATGGCAGCGTCATCGCCCCTGGTAACTTTAGTAACGCCTCTAGTCCTGATGTCTTACTAAGAGTATGATGTCCTATTCAATTTTTTATCTTAGTTAACATCTGGCGCCCTCGTCGCAAAGTGGTAACTCCAAACTTCTCGATGAAGAATCTGCAAGCTTTTGTAAAGGTATTTTCGCGGCAGAGCGAGATATTGGCTGATTGTTTAGCCTCGGTCGCCGATAAGAATACGTTCTCGATATGGAAATATTTTACAACTTATAGTATGGATTCTGTTTGCGGTAAGTGTTACAATTTGATAATAAAAAAATTTAAGTTGAGTTTTTTTAGAACTTTTTAAAGCACTCTTTAATTAATAACCAGGATAAACGTAATAAGCGATTGAATATCAAATTTAAGAATTTCTACTCCTGCACATACTATTTTCCTTTGGTGATTTCTATCAGAAACGACTCTAGGCATCGAAGTGCATGCGCAAGGGTTGTCACACTGTCCGTTCCTGTGGGCGTTCGAGCAGTACTGCCGGCTGACGGCGGCGCGCATGTGCCAGCCCTGGCTGTGGGCGCGCGTCCTCTACCGCTGGATGCCGCAGCACGCCACGCTGCGAGCACACAGGGACTATATAAGGACTTACGTTGATAAAGTATACAAACACATATAATATACTTCAATCAAATAAGCACTAATATTAAAAAATGTTACTTGTTGCAGATTATTAAAATGAAAAGTGAAGAACGAAAATGTGAGGAGTTATCTAATGGAAGTTAGTTTATTCTTACATCTAAAATTAAACAAATACTAGGAGTACATTTTCATGTATATCAGATTTCAGTATTCTCTGATGTTCAAAACATCAACCACTTAGATTGTAAAGTTAGAAAGATTCATTAACTATTATTAAATGCATCATTTTATTACGTTGTTAACTTGGTCGTGCAGTCATATAATATTGATGATTATTGATTTATGCTTTTCAGATCGTCATAGTTAGTTTAGTGATACAATTTAAAATATACGACGTATATAGTATGAGTAGAAAATCCTAAATTTCTTTTCCAACTGCCTTCCGTTCATCAGTTAAGGGATTTCAATATTTACTATTACATTTCAATTTGTATGTCTTGCTCTATCATTCATCATACAGATGAGAGAGACAAGTCGCTGCTGGAGCTGCTGCTGACGTCGTCTCTCTCGGAACTGGAGGTGCGCGAAGAGTGCCTGGTGCTGGTGTTGGCGGGCTCCGACACGTCCGCTGTGGGCGCCTCCTTCACCGCTTGTCTGCTCTCTCACTACCCACACGTGCAGGACAAAGTCTATGACGAGTAAGTTTAATTTGACTCTTCCACAATTGATTGTAAATAATTAAAACGCGCAGTGTAACTAAATATTCTACTGATCTAATATTTATAGGTTGTACGCAGTGTTCAAAGACTCGCAGAGACCTGTCGAGGCGGCTGATCTGCCGAAGCTCAAGTATCTGGAGGCCGTCATCAAGGAGTCTATGCGGCTGTACCCACCCGCTGCTGTCATAGCAAGGAAATTAGACAAAGATATTGTTTTGCGTAAGAGTATCAACGATTAAGAGTATCAAATGCACCAGAACTAATAAAACCAAAAAAAATCGATAATATTCTTAGTCTCTAAAATGCCATATAGGTATTCCATTACTTGCTTTATGATTAAAACGTTGAAGCCTAACAAATCTGTACAGCTTCAGGCGTAACGTTGGTGGAGGGTTCCGGCGCGCTGATCAACATCTGGGCGATGCACCGCAACCCTCGGTACTGGGGCCAGGACGCCGAGCTGTTCCTGCCCGACCGCTTCCTGCCCGCCACCCCAGCCTCGCCCGACTCAAACTCGCCGCCGCAGCGACACGCCGCCTATATGCCCTTCAGCTACGGACCGAGGAATTGCATAGGTCAATCACACATGTCCAAACAATAGTTAATGAAGACTCTATACAATGATAATATACACTATACAAAGAAAAGAAAGTTAATTTGTTTAAAATTCCCTCAAGGTTGCCCGCGGTCCTATAACTAAGTGAATAAGGTTGTTTTGTTTATAGGATATCAATACGGTATGATGTCTATGAAAACGGCACTGGCGGCCGTCGTGCGGCGCTACCGCTTGCTGCCCGCCGCGTGCCCCCCGCACCCCCTGCGCGTCAAGTACGACATCATGATGCGCGACGTAGACAACTATATGCTCCGCTTGGAACCTCGCTCCTAAACACCTCAATATTGTTATTTTGTTCATGCGTCATTTTATCGCGCGTTAAATTTTAGGGCCACGTTACCTGCTGCAGCTATAACATACAAGATCCTAAATATAAAAATAACGAATAAAACATAGTGCAAGTAAATAAATTTAATAAACATGAAAATATTTTTTTTATATAATGTTTTTTATTATAATAATACCAAACGTGATTCCTAATAATGTACACCTGATCAAAATGTATTCACATTGAGTCCGATGGATGAGGACAACACGAAATCTGATACGAATTTAAATCAATTACAAATTACAATTAAAAAGTTAAAAATTACGAACAAGAATACATTTCCAAATACATTTTACATAATAAAAATAACAATTCCCGTCACAATAACCAATTCTTGGAAGCTGCTTACTTAAAATAAGAAATTTTAGTATTGTGTATATTTTAAACATGTCTGGATTCTAATTGAAGTTTAAATCCTTTCAAATCTCTTAACATAATATCAAATTTGAGAGAGAATATTTCATTAGTATCCCCGGAGGTGGGCGGCGGCAGGAACCTGTAGCTCCTCAGCAACGTCGCCACCACGGTCTTCATGGACATCATTGCGTAGCGGTAGCCTGTGGACAATCATTTGCAATTCTATTATATATTGTTAAAACCTACAAAATATTAGTGTTGTGTAGATACACAATACTTCATACTAACCAATACAATTTCTTGGTCCGGAACCAAATGGAATGAAAGCGTGCGGATGATGTTTTACGTTGTCCAGGAATCGATCCGGGTTGAAGATGTCTGCGTCTGGGCCCCAATAGAGAGGGTTGCGGTGCAGGCACCACACGTTTATACACACTCCGGTGCCTTCCAACAGTTTTACACCGGATGCTAATCAACAAGAAATAAATAATTTTCAAATTGGAAGGTTTTAATGAAAGCTGACGGACATTTATTTTACTATATACTTACGTAGTGTAATATCTTTCAGTACTTTTCTTAGAATACTCGGAACCGGTGGATACAGTCTCAAAGATTCATTAATAACAGCCTCCATGTACTTTAACTTTGTCAGGTCTTCTATCTCAATAGCTCTCCTCTCTCCGAGCACTTCCAACAACCTGTTAACATTGGAAGCCCTTTGTCTCAAAAAAATAAATTACGTACGTTGGTTTCTTACTGAAGTTATCAGCACTCACTCGTTGTACAATCTTTCCTGCACATGCGGCTGCTGGGCCAGCAGGCAGCAGGCGAAGGAGGCGGCCACGGTGCTGGTGTCGCCGCCCGCCAAGGCCAATACCAACATCTCCTCGCGCAGCTCCGTGGTCGAAGGAACTCGCGCCGCACATCCCGAAGCCCCCGCACCCCTCGCACCGGACGCACACATCAGCAACTCCATAAATGACTTTGGCTGGTTTATGTCTGTAAATATTTTAAACAAATACATACACTGTAAGAGTTTTATATTGCAACATTTTATTTGCTACCTAAATCTAATCCGATGATAAGGACTGCGAGATTAAGTGATTTTATTGTCACTTAAGAGGAGTCTTCATTAATGATGGACTAATATAATACAACTCACCCTCACTTGCGCTCACATTTTTATTTTTTCCCAATACTTTCTTGGTATTGATGATCTGTAACAAAAATACTCGAGAATCTTATACTATTATTCTCTTAAATAATATAAAAATAATTGTATCGATTTTATTCAGAAACGCAGGTCTCGAAGACCAAATATCCTGCTAGAAACGTCTGATAAAACCGTTACCTCATCAATAAAATCCCACATGATTCTAATACTCCTGTAGTAGGTGGTGAATGCGGGGTGCAGCTTGAACACCGCCTCCACGGCCAGCAGCGGGTTGCTCATACGCAGGACGGCGATGCGGCAGTACTCTTCGAAAGCGCACAGGAACTCGTCGCGCTTCTTCTCATTGCTTTCACCCAAAATCGACTCTATACCAAAAACCAATGATTTATATCAACCACTGGTTAAATGAAACGTCTTTCTATAGTTTATTATATAAATAATTAAATGTACAAACCACAGACAGACTCTAAAGTGTAGGTGGACAGATATTTGGCAATAGAGATGACACCGTTGCCCGCCGCCGGCCGCATCCGCTCTGACATCTCAGCGCTCTTCCTGGCGAATGTGGCGAAAGAGTTGCGGAGATGTCTCGTTGAAAACATCGGAGTAATCAACTTACGCCGCAACCGCCAAATGTTAACTGAGGTAAAAATCAGCAATCAACAAGTGTTGTTGGAGATTTTAAGGCACAGCCAAAACAACGGAATTCTTGCATGCTATCGTGAGAAACTCATAGTAGACTTTATTTCATCCACTTATACTGCAAACACAACTGAGACATGCGGCTCATCCAATAAACGTAATCTTTATTAAAACAATTCTTTGTAAAGAAAGTGTAGCGGCGTGGGAATGGCAACTCACCAGGCGCACTGACCGTACCGTTCCCGCAGAGATGACGTAGGATGTCGGACACCGCCGTCTTAGCCAAGCACCGACGCAGTACCAGTTCTGCCACCGCTGCATCCGATGTCACTGCACAACGTAATGCTCGGTGCATTTGAATGTTTCAATGATTTTCTTTACGAATTCCAAAAATAGACATAAAATATTGTGCCTATTTGCTGAACTAACTTGTGTAGAACGAGCGGCCGAGCCACGTGGCGACAACACCTCCTTTCTCGATCGCTTCCCTACCTACGGCTTCAAGTATTTTCATGCGATCTGGAACAAATTTTTAAAACTAACATTATATCAGCAGCAACAGCTTTACATCTTTTTTTCACATGCGTACGAATTACGGTTGCGATGCCGCCCTCGTTCGCAGGAAGTACACAGGAATGTATGAGCAAGGGGACAGCTATATCACCTTGCTCATATACACACACTGATACAACCGCTGCATGGCGCGATCTTTTCGCAATGGAATAGGGCAGTCCAAAAATAATAAAAATCTATAGGTAGCCCTCACCGGCGTCGGAGCCGAGCAGTAGATGGGCGTGCCCTAGTAGCGGTAGCGCGCGGTGCCGGCTGGCCGGCTGTCCGCTGCGCCGCTCCACGCTCCATATCCTGCACTGCTCAAACACTAACCATAGTATTACAGCTATCAACACTAATAATGTAAACATTATGATTCCTTGCAATTGGAACTCCTCTAATATTTAAAACTATATATTCACTAGCTTCTGATAACAATGATAGAATAATATCTATCGTAGTAGATTTGCGACTTTATAGTACTATTGTAATCCCTTGCTATATGTCCACCTCAACCCCCCCCCCCGCTACCCCGCTAACCCGCACAGTTAAAAAAATGAATGTTTTGCGTCTTCACCGCTTTAACCTTAGCAGTTTTATGGTTGATACAAGACTGAATAATTAAAATGTTAAAAATTAATCACAATGTTTTATAAATTCTTTATAACTTGAGTGGCAACAGGTCACACCGTGATGGGCTAAATCATTATAAATAATAGTTTAAATTCATTTATATCTCTGTCTAAAATGCTCTCGTACTTGTATATATGTAAATATGAGTTCTTATGTTTTTTCACTCTGAAATAAAATATCTTTAAAAAAAATAAAAAGTTTTTAATAGACTTATATGATTAAATGAATATGTAACTGAGCATCCTCGTGTGTTAAATGTAAATATGTTTGCAATGTATCTTACACCAAATTGTACTAGTTCTCAGATCGAGGAAACTCACCGCTGAGCTGTGAACAGGGATGTGCATCACTCTCTTACTATACAAATAATGTCCTTCTAAACTCATGGAGCGTCCACCGAAGCGACCTAAGAGCTCGGCAGCCTCCCAATCCGGAAATAATAACGAAGTAACGGCCCGAGCCGAGGTTTCTGAGGGAGCCCTCGAGCTTAATTACTCTTAAACGAGGTTTAGGCTAAGTGCCGTCTGCGCTCGGCCACCTCAAGCCCGGTGAAGCTGTAAATGCCGCCTCAATGCAAACAGTGGCAATCAGTCACAAAAAAAAACCTTCTAAACTGTCATTCAATTATCAATGTTTGTTTGTGTTTCATTACATTAGATGCACAATAATGTTATTTCCGTGTTATCCTTGCCTCCACAAACCTTTTACATATATAGAATCTGATATTTAAACTTTCACGGAGGCGGGATAGAAAATTTTGCTCATAGATTTTTTACTACAACTACAACAATATATTTAAATATTTTATAATTTACCTGAACGGTTGGTTCACCCCTGAACATGTTCATGTCAGTTCAGTCAACCCTGGAGCACTTCCCGATCCCCGTGTAGTTCCCAGCTGCTCCCGCCGCGCCGCGCTCGCCACTCGACACTCGACACTCGCCACTCGCCGCCGCATCAAACCACTCGTCAATCATACAAACAATGTAAGTTTTTATGCAATCTAACAAATTAGTTTTATTTGTTGAATTAAAACACTGTTCTATTTACTTTTTCTTTTAATATTTTCTTCTGAAACAACACAAACTTTATATATTCAAATCCATAAAAAGTTATGTACTTTATTTTTTTTCCTTTACAGATGCAGTGCTTCATCTGCGTAATATATTTGGTAATATCCTGCAAGGCTCTTCCTTACAAGGACCCTGAAATATTACCATTTGAAAATAACGCAACGATATCATTTAATAACAATACAAGAAGTGAACTTTCTAACGACAAATTTAAAATTGAAATATCAGAACTTGCAAATTCACATACAAACCGCACGCAAACAAACGAAAGTGAAATTAATAGAGAGAGTGTTGACAAAACCAAGGTGATTGATGAAAAAGTAATGAAGTCTCAAGAGGAACCTGACGCAACGACAATGATACCAACGGGTTCTTCCTCGAATGACACAATTTTCTCCGGAATAAATAAAGAATACATCAAGTACATGATAACTGGAGCAAAAGAAACTGATCACCTTTTTAGACCGATTCTAAATGAAATGGAGGACATGAGTCAGATTGGGGACACCGACCGCCTGACCATCATCAACCCAACAGTCATTGTCAACTTCCGCGGCTCCATATGGAACAAAGAAAGTGATATAAAACTAGCTCAAAAAAAGAAGGACAAGAGGAAACCTGAAAACACAAATGACTGATATTTCGGCATAATCCTAAAAAAAAACGAAAACGAAAGTCTGAAACAAACAAAGACGTGCTCCCTTGTGGCAAATTTTTAAATAATTTTAATGTTGTATTGTGTTATTAAAAACGATGCAATAATTAATGTTTCAAAAGCGTTAAATTACTTGATTTTTTTAAATAAATAACACGAGAATAGTATGTTCGAAAACATTTCATAGTTATTTAATAAATACAACGACAATTAAATATTATGGTATAAATAAAATTTTAAAAGATTGTTGTTTTTATTATTTTTCCTAACAGGAGAGATCCCTCCACCCCCCATCCCCTAAGTTTGTTCAATAACTGTGAAGATGCAAACAGCCTGGGTGTCTGTCGGTGTCTGGAAATAAGAGTTAAAAGACAGCCATGTCGCCATCAAGATAGTTAAGTTCTTAGTAATCCTTTTAATTTATCTTAGTTTATACATCGTAAATCGTAAATAGTTATTTTTTGAGGGACTCAATACACAAATATTATTGGTGCGTCTTGCATCATGAAAACAGAAAATGAATAACCTAGCTTAGGTTCAAATACCTTGTAACATTTTCAAAACATCATTATACAAAAGCAATAATATTCATTCGATTGAAGCACCTTATACAAACGCATGTTATAAGAAAAACTAGCCAAATAAAATGCTGCAAATATCACTCTACTGTCCAGTAGCAGAAGAATCATAATTGCGTATCAAGTTACCATTAAATGTGCAAATCAGAATGAGTTCCGGATACTCTTAGTTCCCGAAGAAGACAGGTTACTATTTCAACTAGAACAAGGGTTGCCAACAATTATGAGAAAACCTCTTTCTGGAACATGAAAATAGTATAATAGGATATAAATAAAAATAAGAAATTTAAGCCGTCATCAAACCGTCCTTAACTTTTGCTTTAAGCAAGACCCAAAGTGAGCTGAAGTAAATATTAAATTTAAGGAGTGATAGAAATATCTTGATCCAACTAATGTTCTAAAGTATACTCCAACTCAACTTACACTCCAACTAATATTGTCTGTAGAACAAAAGACTGGAAAGTAGAGCCAAATTAATGATTCGGTTATTGTTTATGAAGATTTAAGACAGTAAGTAGATTTGATATACTGTAAGTTGTTAAATGACACTCGGGAATTTTCTTAAGTTATTCGAAATATCTTACTATAAACTGTAATAAGCACCTGAGAAACATAAATGTTCCGGTTCCTTGGGCACCCCTGGAGCAGTTCAGGTGGGTTCAGTCAACCCTTCCGTAGCGGACGCTGGCATCGCGGCACAGTCGCCAGCCGTCACGGGACCCGGTCACTCGCGCACTTACACTCCATTACAAGGTAACAAATCATACAAGTTTTATTTTTCAACTATAATTTTTTCAAATTAGTTGTATATTACTCAACAAGTGTCATAATCTTAACAACAGTTTCCAATCATTCCCCAATTTCGATTGCTGTGCTAATCGTGTGTCTTCTTTTATTAACAAGTCAATTATTACCAGCGTGTTTATTACATTAACAATAAATTAATGATTTAAGCTACACTTTGTGTGGTGTTTGTTTGAGTAACTTTTCTTCTTTTTTCTCCTGCAATAAAGCTTTTATAAATGTCGCCGATCGATGATTGTGTTTAAAATTATTTTATTCCAGATGCAGTGCTTCATTTGTGTCACCTACATGATCATACTGTGCACCGCGCAGCCGGCCAGAGATCGGCCGGAAGCGACCCACGAAAAGCGATCTCTTTTCAGGGACGTCATCGAATCCTTACGAATACGATCACAGCTGCCTGAAGAAATCAATCACAGCGATGACAACAACCTGTTTCAAAATTATGACAGGTACGGCTTTGACAACGAACCACCAGAACTTCCAAGCGATGCAGATTTTATACCGCGACGAAATGATCGTATCGAAATGCCTACGCTGAAATACAGATTCCCCAAAAGTATCCAGCCAAATGGAAGCGAAATTAAAGTAGAAAACAAAAAAGAAGACATAGTTATCTACGTGAACACACCGTCAGAAAGATCGGAACCCAAACCCACGACAAACAAACCAAAAAAGGAACCAAAACCAAATAGTAAAGTGAATTTTGTAAAACAAAATGAAAATGATGAAGATATGACAGAGGTGGCGAGCAGCTTGATAGAGGATAGCTACAGACCTGTAATAAATAAAATGGAAGATGCAAGTCAAATCGGAAACAGAGAATATCAAACAGTAATCAAACCAACCGTAATTGTGAATTTCCGCGGCACAGTCAGCCACAGAGACAGCGAGATAAGATTGGAAAAGAGGAATAATCCCAAAAGGAAACAAGATCTGGATTCTGCGCGAAACATATTTAATATCAATCAAGAGATAAAATTAGAACGTCCTAATGGTACGATAGATGTGGAAGCATTGAGACACCTGAACAGCGCAGTGAAGCAAGGCGTCAACGTACTCTCAGATAATGCGAAGGAGAAAGTGAACGATGACATGACGTGCGAGACGTTCGCAGCACACGCAACGCACGAGGCACACGCAGCAACGGAGACCGAGCGCAGCGGGCGGGACGAAGGAGACGACGACGATAATATCCTACAAATTGTAGTAACACTTTAATTTACATAGTTTAGTTATAACATATAAACTAATTTAACGTATACACTTTGATTTGATGTAAATTATTATACATTTCTATTGAGATAAGTATTAAAATATAATATTAATTATGTGAAAGACTGAAAGATGACTTGTTTAGATCTCTGGTACATGGTCAACATTTCCCAGCGATAACTATTTTTTAATGAATAATTAGATTAAGTTAAGTGACACAATTTTAATGTGAGGGGGGGTTTAGTGCATGACAAGATAGATGTGTGAGTTACGTCATACAATGATTTTATAAAGCAAGCTATTATAAGTAACCGTATTTTATTCACAACCTTAAACTTCAATAATAAATTAATTTATGCTTGTAATGGGCCCAACAAAATGTCAACGGAAAATCTTAATATTAAACGTAATGATTTATTAAAACCCGTTTAAATTTATTAGAGTGACGTCGGTAATTCTTTCAGTTTATTGAACATAGCTTTTGCCCGCGACATCGTCCGGGTTATTGAGTGCGAATAAGATCTTAGTAGTCTACATATTCTTCCAGACTATGTTCTACATATGTGTCAAATTAAATTGAAATCTGTTAAGCCGTTTAGAAGATACGTAGTAACAAACATCCATCCAAACTTCAGCATTTATAGTAGATTAGTATGATATGATTCTGATAGAGATTTTGTTAAAACGAGTGAGGACTTATTCATAATTAACAATGAATAATGCTTATTCCCTTTTACAGTAAACATGAATCAAGTGAATTATCAAATGTCACACTTATAAATAAATAAATATGTGAAAGTATACATAATATTGTATTGGTCTAGAAAAAGGTCAAGATATTTGCAAATTTTAATTAATTTATCTAACAGATTAGTCCTCAAGCAAAAAATGTCGTAGGCGGACCTAGAAGACAAGAAACCCGGTTTTATACTTTTGGAATGTGGATTATTTCTAGATTTTCATTTTTTAACAACAAACCATATTAATGTAATTTTATAATACGTTACATCTATATCTCAAAGTGCGTGTCAATCAACATGGCTACTTTGATCTGAACGAAATTACCATTCTACAAATATCAAGGATCGGATTTCGGTACTTATAAATACTTATAAATGATATCAAGTTCTATTGCTCTACAAATGTCAAGGTAGTCTTAACATTCTCGTCACTCGTTACACCTTTTAGTTCATTACTTTAAATTATTGTTTGAGTCCAGCATCATTAAATCACCAAACATAATAAATTTTATTTTTATCATTTTGTCGTTGGACAAAATGCAGGATAACGTGTAGTGTATAATTATAGTCTGAGGTACTTAACATCTCCGCAAGTATTGCTTTTTGTGCTTTTAATTAAAGTTAACACTTTAGTTATCACTTAACATTTAATAACGTAACTTAACGCCTATATGATAAATTTTGATCGTCATGTGTTCGTTGCGTCATTGACCTCAACATCGTTTGAGAAGCTTGTATAATTTAATATTTTATTCCTAATTTGATGTAGTTTGGGCGTGCAACATGACGTACGTATTAACTCTAAATTGAATAGTTGATAAACGGTTTTTAGAACATTTATCCCTAAAAAGAATAGTTGTCGTTAAGATACCGTTACTGAGTCTAAATCCTCAGCCCACGTTACCCCTATTTTGAAACATTTATTTTATAATAAAGCCTTAAATGAGATTTGCTAAGTATATATGTAACTGTAAACCACTTTTTAAATAAACAGATCTGCTTACGATAAGTGACATTAAACGAATTATTAAAATAATAAAATAATGTATAATATTTTAAATTTTAGTTCCGTGATCTATTGACGTATTAACTAGTTAAAAATGAATACGTGAATGTAAGTTTATTTACAGTTACGTATATTTAATTTCACTCTGGACAAAGAACTAAGAAAAATCAGAGTTTTTTGTTCATTATATGTCTGTTAATTTATTTAAAACTAATTATATTGAGGCCATAACAAATTTATTGGCTTAATAAACCGGAATTAGACAAGTCAGGGATCAACGCTCCGATTATTTAGCTCTATCACTGTTACCGTGACCGCGGTGACCACTGTCAACGCACCTGTATAAACACATATTGTTGTCTCTATTTTATAAAGAGAATAATAGAGATGGCATGTTTATCTGCAAATGTTTCGGCAGTCCACCGCACAGGTCGACGGAACTGGATTGATGGTGCGTCTCAAATCATTTTGACACATCACTTAATCATTAATAGAACTTTGTAGAACATGATGTTACACTAAATGTTAAAAGATTTAATGCAATATAACTACAGTAACACGCGGAATCTTACATAAATCAGAAAGTAATGTAATAAAGTAACTAAAAATATTTTAATCGTATCTTATATCGTAACAACAAAGAAAATCGTTACAGCCGTATCCATCATATCTGGCCGAATTATTTATAAAAATAAAATAATTATTTAATATTTGAATTGTTTTAACTGTAGACATATAAGCTGTTGACGTAAACTAATTAAAAATATTGAATTAAAAAAGGAAGCTTACAAAAACTTGGTCAGATATCAAAACTTGTCGTAATTTTTCAAAAAGTCAGCGGTCAAGTTCAAGTTCGTCTCAGCTAGTGCGGCGAGGAATTGTTGTCGAGTTATGTCGATAAAATATATCAACTATTTTGTTATCCATTTATCTCACAATGCTCAATACATACAGTAATTTTGTTCATTAATTTAGAACTCGCTTAGAAAAATACAATAAACATTTATTTTGTTACATGAATAAAATATAATTTAATATGTAAAATATTACTTACACTTTACTTTCAAATGTTATGAGATTTATTTTCTCTATTAAAAAAAAACAATAAAAGTAATGACCTTTTTCGAAAAAGAAAAATTAAAAAAGTCACTTAGACTTTCACATTTCCCATCCTTAGTTCCTTACCACGCGAACTCGATTCTAATTCGCCCTCGAGATATTTGTACAAATATTTACATTTAAATTAACACCACAAGTCGATAGCACATTGTAAAAAAATCGATTTCTTACTAAACCACTAGAAGCAATGCAAAAATCCCGCTCTAAAAATAAAATAGTTCTGTGAGATACCGAGACTAAACAAATTGCTAGACTCGTGACAAAAACAATAATCGGACCTTAAATCTCGCGTCTCAGCTAAAGGTTACTAGACTAGGTGATTGTGACCGATTATTGTAATACATTCGCCTTTACAGTTGAATTATTGAACGATTACGATAATGAAGCGGCACAAAAACTTGCAAGTTAATTATTAGAATGTTTGAATGATATTTGATCTATGCTTCGAGAATACCATTTTTTGTTTTTCTTTTTAATCAATTAATCTTTAAATATTTTAATTATTTTTAACTTTCCGAGCTTTAGCTCGAAGGAAATAATTACTTTTTAAAATTAGGACAGTTTTCGTTTCAATAATAAAACGTCTTTACTTCCCGTTATCTGTGAGTCTTGTGGTCATTTGTCGCGCCTCGTTCGTTCCTCGCTGCGAGGCGAGAGGAACACGTAGTAGGTGCGCGAAATAAGATTGAGCAAAAAGCTTGTGAGTCCGCGGCGAGCGTCAAACACGCCTCGACCACGGGCCAGTGCGCGCGTTTGTAACACAACTTATGTTATTGTTTTTTTATGAAATAAATCGAGGCAAAGGCGAGATGTCACAAAAACTGGTGATTACGGTAAGCGAGTCTTGATACTTTGTGCACTAGGCGTAGCTCACAGGTATGCGGCGGGACCGGCTCAAGCGCTTCTCTTTTTATATTTATTTATTTCAACCTTTTAACACTACATCCAATGTTTTTGATTTTGTATATGTTTTAGTTGTAATTTTTAACAATAATTTTGTATCGCACCTACCGGAAACAAACAATAGCGCAACTATCACTGCAACTAGGTTTGCCAGTTGTTAGGTGCGATTCTATACAACGTATGCAAGGATATGGGTTGTGCGAGCGATTTTCTGCTCGAGTCAATTTTTTTTTTAAGAACGGATCACTTTATTACTAGTTAATTATTTTGATCCGCAAGGACCTTACCACTTTAGTGTAAAATTAAAATAAACTAACTCTATCAATAGATTTAGGGGAAACAAAATTATAAGACGCGGGTCGCTTGTAACTTAGGCAAGTAATGTGCGTTTAAGTTCGCCTCACGTAGCCTGCGTCTTGCCAAAAACTGATAAAATGCACATGCGTTAGTCACGCAAACCTAAATTCTGCATTTTATTATTATTCACAAATTCTGTTATGGACTCAGTAAGTTGTTTTATTTCGCTTGTCCCGTTTTATATAAAGTACATATAAACAAGCTAGTTGAGTTGATGCCTCAACTCTACAAAGATATCACTGCGTGTTAATTTCAGAATCATGTTCACTATCCAAGTCTTTTAAATTATTTACGTTTTATTTATGTATAACATTACATTATAATGTGAAGAGAATACGTAATAAGATGAGTTAGGAAACAATTTGATATAACATATTGGAATGTAACAGGATCTATTATATCATTAACTAAAATAGATCTAATTAATATCCAAACGTTCAAAATCAGTGTAACTAATAGAATTCCATTAACTAAATATTAACATATATAATTCCGTGTGCGGCAGGACAAACTGATCGCGGCCTTGACGCAGGACGCGCTCGGATTTTTAACTGACCGATTATGACTTCATTAAAGGACTTTTTTATTCGATATCTCCCTTCCATGGATTACTCCTAAATGTCGAATATTTAATAAAAGAAAATCACAACATTCTCTAAAAAAAAACTTCTAGCCAGTATTAATATAAACATATTGAAAATAATATGCAAAGAATACTTTATCGTCGATAACAAATGAGCCGATGTATAATATCAGCAATACTACACAAGTACTGAGAATAATGTATTGTTACGATAAGCAAAGAGACTATTAATGTTGTGTGGGACTTGCACTCCGCCTCCTCCGTGCATCAAAATCATTTTGTTGAAAAATCTGTGATTAAATTAAAACATAAATAATGTGGAGACGTACGGTCAGTCGAGACAAAGTCACACGGCACAAAGTTAAGAAAGTCATTGTGATTAATACTCAGGTCATTGATCCTGATCCTCCGCGAATTTCGTCAACAAAACATGCCTTTATATCGATATCATTTAGTCACTCTACTTTGTTTTTCTAACAGATTTATCCTCATCAATGTGAGTATCCGCTGTCTCTTAGATACAGTCGTTTTATAAATATTCATTAGCTTTTATTATTTGATTTAAAGATTGACGCGTCTAAATTATTCTTCGGCTTCGTTTGATTGACGATATTATTTATCATACATACCGCAGGATACCACCGCCATAATGTCTTCCTCTTTAAGTTTACCTAAAATTTTAGATTTTTTTTATTAGAATATTGAATTTATTTAATTAGTAGTCTTTTACAGTTCGAGACAAAATTATAATCAATAAACTTTTTGTACATTTTCTAAAATGAAATTAAAGAATAATAATTTTTATTAATTCAATTATATTATTATATGTTAAAGTTACAAAACTCCCAGTTTTCTTCCCAATTTAGTTTTAAATTAAAATAAAATAGAATCTCACATAACATCATGTAACTTAAAACTTTATGTAACAGATAACATTGAATATTTTCACTTTGTATTTAAAGTAATTCAATCCCATTCATTGCATTGTCCTGTGTCCTGTGTCCGTGCTGAGCTCTCACAGCAGCTTGGCAATTGTGAACTAGTAACTGATTACTGACTAAGTAATACACACTTTCCCAACAACAGATTTACCGCATCCTCTCTATTCCTGCAAACGAGATCACGTCCGGTACCTTAGGCTGCATATTATTTACAAACCCTGCTGTACTGAGCCTTATAATTTTGCTGTCTGACTCATTCTGTTGTTTAATTCATGAGAAGAAATAAATACAAGCCAAGAAGCGGACAACATTGGGACTGGGCTTTCTAGTTAAAGTGACGTTTCTGAATTTGGTGTAGGTGTTTCATTATAACATAATCCATTTAAATATATTATTAACATATGTAACGTAATTCTCGTAATTCGATATTATTTTGCCTTCACATTTAAATTGCGTAACAAATAATATAAAAACAACGAATTGAAACTTTCTCTTTAATAAAACTTTCCGTTTGTTTTTACTGTGTAGAAGACCTATTAATTTAATGACATTGATAAAAACAAAGTGGGTAGACTTTAGTTTAATGCATTGCCTTCGTACATTATACATATATACGAGTAAAATACTATATTACAAGCCACTTCTAATTAGTAATCATTAAATAACAATAGAATAGAATATAGAATAGAAAATTTTGTGAGAATTTATGACGTTATATCACAGCCAGATGCTATATATATATATATTATAATACTATATATATATATATATATATATATATATATATATATAGTATTATAATCAATAAGCACACCGCGTCTCAGCAAGCTAGTGTTTTCTGTGCGGTCTCCGACGGCCTCATTGCTTTCACCAATTACTTCTCTGTCCGATCAAAAATAAACATATTTCTTATCTGAACTTCATCGCAAACTTTCCAATACAATAAAAATTGAACATTGAAGCGATATCATTGCCCGATTAGCGACTTTGTTGATTAAACCAAAAAACAACGACATATTTTAAGATGTTCTTTGCTCATTAGACCGATATCCGTTCCCATTGCCAACTTCTACAAGTTGTATCAGTTCGTATGTGAGTCATTATTACTCAAAAACATCATTAGGTTCGTGATGGAAAGTCGGTTGAATTATTATTTATTAGCTTCCTCGCGACCCGGAGCCAAGCTCAGCTATTTATTGAATATCTCGAGCAAGTAAAAGCCACAGAGTCTAGAAGAAAGTTAACAGCTCCGCTAAGAAAGTTCAGTATCGAGTGTAAACTCATTACCTATTTTATATTTAGAGAATAACAATCAATCAACGCCTTATTAAAGACAAAAATTTAATAACTTGTCCGTTCATAGTACACATGTAAGCGTAGTCTACATTCTTCGAACAAAAATGGCCAAGTAAATGTCATTTAATAAAACATGTACTAAAATGTAACAAGTTCAAGATTAAGGCCAAGTTCACATTCAGCGCTGTATCGCGCGTAAATCGATACAAAACGAAACTAGACCTAAACAGCAGGTGTTTATGGTTAACATTGGCGTCACCTCTCGCTAAATCATGACTAGAAATGCTGTTGTTAGTCAGATGAACATCTAAACGCATTTGAACATAAGTGGTGTTTCAACTATCCGACAAGCACCGCACTTGTACTCAGACGCGCACTATCTGGGCCATCGAAAGCCAAAACAACTGACACGGTCATTCAAGTCGCACTTGTTTGATTGACAAACATTTATCTTAGATATGGTCACACATATTTATACTACAAACTAGAAAAATGGTAAATATTTCAGTATATATTTTTGACCCAACTTTTTTATTAAAGTTTACAAAAACACCGCATAACAGAAATATTATAAATATTATCGAAATGAGCGACTTGAATTCATTAAATATGTATCTTTAATATATATTTTTAACGTTTCAGTTGATGTTGACGTGCGCGGCGCTAGAGGTCGCCACCATGCCGGCGAGCGTGTAAGTTGCTTTTGTTTTTGATTCTGTTGCTAAAAGACGTCTTTTGGATGTCGGATATATTACTACAATAATAATTAAAAATTTATTTATAGTATTGTAAAGTTAATCAGTATAATAGGACATTGTAGAACAAAGCCACTAAAACGAGTCCACTTTTATCTGTTACTTAACACTCACCACCGCCTCATTAGCACTCACCGCGCGACGCAATGCATTCGCACAAACTAACATTGTAGTGTACAAATCTACGGGACACTTCTACGTTATAAAAGTACGCGCCTCGCTGGTTCAGGTATGCTCATTCATTATAAATATTATACAATAGCACCGCTACACTGTACAGTGCACGCAATATTAATCCGCTTGGGCTTGGTCATCGACTGCGGTCAAGAATTCCTATAAAAATATACGTATGTATATTTCAGACCTTCAGCGCAGACCACAAGGGAAGAAACGACAAACAAATCTGAAGATAATAACGAAATATCTTTGTCGCACTCCGAAAATACCACGAATTCTGATACTAATAAAATTCTTAAGCAAATCGAAACTATCAATCAAGGTCTGAGCGAACCGGGTAAGCAAAATGTAGTCTCGAGCAGACGAGCACAAACTGGAGCTGAATACATCATTGATGAAGGAACATTTGATAAAATACAACAAATCGTGGCATCCATCAAGGCTCGCCCGTTCTCGCAACAACATCAACTTGACAAGTACATAGATAATGTTGACGATATAAGCCAAAGTCTTGAAAGATCAAAAGCATTACGATTTGATTCAAATTCCATCAATAATGATATCTTGCCCGCGATGCCTTTACCTTACATCACTAGTATGCCTGTTATGGTTGTCCCCGCTACGACTGATTTAATTAATACAAAGAGTGCAGTGAACTCATTGCGACCGAACATTTATCAAACAAGACAAGAATCACCATCATTCCCATTTCAATTTCAATGGCCGCTCGCCTCATTTTTTCCAATATTAGTTAAAGATCCTCTCCTTGGATTTTTGCACGGCGGAGGATGGAACAATTTTTTTGAAATCGGACAAAGCGCCGACGTCTGTAGTCGACGACAGAAGTCACACGAAACAAATTACATCGAAAGTGACATTTTTGGCGACAATCTTGAAAACAGATCAAATGATGATCCTCCACTTGTATCAAACATAAAACGTCATGCAAGGGTAACTCGTTCTCTTAAAAAACGAAATATTCCCACGCCGAGTCCCGTACAAAATGCAGACAATGGAAAGAAATCGAAAAAAGTTTCTATAAAGCCGCTCCTAACACGAACCAAAACAAAGAAGCCGCAAGTGGAGCAGGAGAAGGAAGTGGTTCAAAACGATGGAGACTTGCGCTTTCCCTTCAGCGATTTTACTTGGTTCGGTAACAAAAAACCTGTTGCTCCTAGCCCAGGTTTCTTTATTAACAAAATGAAAGTGAGAAGGGGCGGTGTAGCCATTGCCGGGCCGGGTGGCGTGGCAACGGCAGGGCGAGGCGGCACCGCCATCGTCGGCCCGGGCGGACTGGCCTACACGCAGCCCGGGGGCCTCGCCGTCGCTGGGCCCGCTGCACGCGTCATCGCTTTATCACCGTACACCGACCTAACATCACTCGTATCACGCCTTCATCAACAATCCCTAGATGGATCGATGCCGAGATCATTTAACCCATTGTCAGAAGGAAGACTTGTGGCTACCGGTCCTGTTATTTATTATCATCCGTATGAGGAGAGATGATTTTAGTCTTTGTTAATTCATGCTATCATAAATGAACTAACATTTACTTGTTTTACCCGCTCACTAGATACGACAACGTCCCACAAGAACGTATAAAAAATATTAGAAGAAACTTGGATACCAACAATCCAGCCGAATATTATTACAACGGAATGGATTTTAAGGAAGGATTTTCTGATAATTCTACGATAGTCATACATTTAAACCCGAGAGCGCACGCGCTAACTGGACCATATGGAATTGCGATTGCTAATCCGATATCGCAGGTGATAGTGGGAAGAAACAAACAGGTGGCAGTGGCCTACGACCCCGAGGCGACGGCGGTGGCGGGGCCGGGCGGCATCGCGCATGCTCAGTCAGACCTCTACCTCTATGACTTCAAAACCGACTAAAATAATGGACTTATTCAAATTATATTTGAATAATTTATTTCCAAAAATATCTTCGACCACGTACTTGAAGCTATTTTTCGAATTTATAAAATCGACTAATAACAATAAACTTAAAAATATAAACCCAAATGAAAGCAATTGTTTTATTTCTACCACTAAGAAGTTGGTTTCTTTCTTTAGTACTTTTGTGTTTTCTGCCGTTTTCGTTTTAAAATGTAAAAAATCTTTTAGTATTAGTTATTTAAATAGAATGAAAAAAATACGTTTTTAAAATATAAAGATTTAACAATATCAAACTGTAAATAAAAGTATCCTACTTTAAATAAGATTCCATTTCAAATTCACAACATTGATAATAACATGTAGTAGAAGAAATAAAAAGTGCGCGCCATATTACAGTTCGTTCGAAAGGTTTATATAAATAAATAAAGGTAATATTTTATAGGGCGTCTACACAATATCTTCCATTTTACGGAGGCGCTAAAGGTCAATACTTAGAAGTACAGAAAGACACAAAAGGATTCGTCGTAAGCGAAAAGATAGTAGCAGAAGAGAGCATTAGCAGCGAGAACATAGTGAAGAACAACGACGATAGCCTGCTGACGCGGGTGCTGGCCACCAACCTGCTCAGCCTGCGCACGCTCGCCGGCACCGCGCTCAAACTGCTCACGCTGGGCAGGAGAACCGGCGCTTTGAACAACAACAACAGAGCCCGCTTCAGGACTCAGCTCACCTCGCTCAGCGACACCGCCTCCAACACGGTCAAACTGATTGACGAGATCGGGGAGAACATCGACGCACTTTTCAACGCCAACATGACGCTGCTGCGCCGCTACGGAGACGACGATGACGATGATGATGTAAGTAACGATTACTTACATTCATTTACAAATCGATTAAATGTAAATTAGAATGAAGCAAAATTATTATCAGGTATACTCTTGGGTTGTAAGAAACTTTGACTATTATTTAACACTAAGGCTTAGTACTACTAGCGTATTTGTATACAAATTTTCTATTCATAAATAAAATAGCTTTTGAAAAGATGTATAAATGAGATTTTCCTTGTGGGTTCCAGGTGGGAGAGGAGGGCGACGACGGCATCGGCATCGACGCGCCCGAGCACGACGACGACGACGACGACGAGGACGAAGACGCGGCGCTTGGAGACGCGCGCATCGCTGAGGCCAAGCCCGTCGGTTAGTACATGTAAAACAAAAGTATTAAATGACCCTACCTTCATAATTCTCTATGTAGACCTATGCATCTCACTATAGAAGCTAAAAAAGCTCCAAATAGTAAAAGTAAGACAATAAGGTACATGTAAACATTTAATCTTACATTATTATTATTTATTGAAGGTCTGGCGGTGATCGGCGAGACAGGCCTGGCGGCGGCGCGGCCGGTGGGGACGGCGGTGGCGACGAGCGGCGTGGCCCTGGCGCGTCCCGTCGGCACAGCCATCGCCGGCATCAACCCCGCCCTACTTGGCATCGACTTCCAAATCAACCAATTACGCCGCAGCCTGCAGCCGCGCAACAAGAAGCACTAAGCCTCACTCATGTCTTACAAATGTTAAATGTGTCTTCAGTAAATTGTAAATAACGATATTCCATTAATTCCAAGTCCTTGATATTACTTTCCTTACATTTCTCAATGTTCTTTCGTTAAGTTATAAAAAAAATATAGGTGATCTTCTCCACTCATTGGTTTTAAATTATTGTCGATTTTTATTTATTAAATAAAATTAAGTAAATTATTTTATATTTTTAACAATTGTTTTCTTATTATTTTGGCATGTCATTGGAACCGTCTAATGTAATGTGTCCGGAAATTACATGCACTTCTGAAGTTGAAATATTATTTGGTCGAAAATGGTCGAAACTACATAACCAAACTTATCAGCATCTCATTTTAAAACAATGCTTTTGAAACAAAATTTTACAACAATTACTCGGAACGCCTGTGATTTAAAAAAAACTCTTTTATATTTCCTGTTATTAAGCGCCTGTTATAAATTAATATCTACATAGGAATTGTACACAAAAGATTACGTCAGAGAATTAACTGTTTATTTCTCGTGTATTAAGTATATCTGAACATGTACCAAATTGTTTATTCCCCGTAGCAGAAGAGTCTATGAGTCATCAGTTGTTCGCGCCCTAACGGTACATCACATCAACACGTCACCGCACGTAGCCTGTCACCTGTCACCTGTTACCGGAAAGATGTTATCTCGAACCCCCAGCCTGCGCTTACGCGATATCCACATGCAGTAGTAGTAGTAGTGGTATTTAAACTCAGTAGATATTGATTCATCCTAAATGTAATCTAGTGATCGTTGTTTAATTTAATAAAACGATGTATTTTAAATAATATATCAGCAAAATAGGCTTATTGAAAGTCGGCATCACAAAATGTACTTGTTAATTTTGAACAATACTCTACCTTATCTGTCTCATTATTTTGATGAGTTATTTTTACTAATTGACTTCTATAAATAGACAGGCTATAAGCCGTAGTATTTTATGCCTCTTTTATTTTCGCCATTTTGGCGCTGATGGTAGCGGTAGTGGGGATGCGAACTAATAAATATATATGGAATTAACTGGCACTGAAGTTAACAAATGCTTTTAAGTCGGATCGAAGAAAAAGCGGACATTTCCATACCTTGTCTTCACCTGCCCTTAAAAATAATTTGAATTATCAGAAATGTTTAAGAAATGTATCCAAATCGTATTTAAATTATACTTCACCTCAACTTGAATCATAAAAAAAAGTCATTGACATAAGCTCGAGTCAATTTACAGAGTGTACAAGCAATAAATATAAAGAGAACATCATAAAAAACCGCCAGGAAAATAGCGTCACATTGCTAAAGACTGCGTTGTTCTAAGCAACGCTTTTACTTTGAACAAAGGTGAAGTGGACAGAATTATTCGGCTGTGAATCAGCGTCGTCGGCTCGCGGACATGTTGCAGAAAAAATCCCACTTGCATATTCATCAAGTCTTCCTTTTACTACAAATTTATCTATATTTGTATATTCTCCTGTGAAACTGGCATGCGACCACTCGTTATATCACATGTAGTTGCCGCTCTATGATGTTTTCATTGGTTTTGTTTGAAGGCTTAAAGTTTTAAGTATACATTTTGGAAATGTCATTAGTAGCTTTATCTCTGACGTTATGACTTTTTATGTAATTGGCAGTGACAAACATACTTATATTCGTACGTAAATCGTAAGTTTTATTATTGTCAAGGTTAATTAGCTGATTCTCAAATTTTCTAGAATAGAAATACTGACAGCTTGGTGTTTTTATTCAGCGTATATTTATTTATCTAGATTCTAGATGATGCAAAATGGTTCCTGTGTTACCTCAGAGTAAGAGATCCTTTGAGATGTATGTAAGTGCGCAGCTGCAGTGGGTGTGCCCCAGTTATACGCGTGTCAATATGTTTGTTATAAACAACACGCGTAATGTTACATTTTAACTTAATTGCCTATGACTCAACTTTTGCGTTAATATAACATATTTCAAACAAAATGGTAAATAATCCGCCACGTGTCGCGCCTCTTAATTGACACGTTTCACAGGATTAATACGCGTTTACACCGTCCACGTGTTCTATTATGTCACCTATAGATAATGAAATTCGCTGGTTTGTAATCGGACCAGGTAAAAAACTGTTACCACAATAAAGTAACTTGACAGGCATTCTGTTTCGCTTCTGATCATGCATTGGTCGTACCAACAAATGACTTTACTGACATTAATTTCTTATTCTTGGAGTATTAAGGATAAAAGTTAACAACGTCATAAAACGCTATCAGCGGACGTCCTCTCAAGGTGATCGGAACTTTACCTTGCGCAGGCGCAACGGCGACTCTGGTTCAAGGGAACATTTGCCAACATTCGGCAAACATTCGCCGGCCGCTACTGAGAAATACTCCTTTGGAGACTCTTCACTTCCTCTGTTTGTCAACACAGAGGACCGTCGTTTACGAGAAAATATTACACGTAAATTAACCATTGAAAAAATTAACAATAACAAATTCTCTTGTCTCGCCATTATTTTCAATTCTCATCGAGAAAACGTAAACAAAGTGACGTTTGTAAAATAGTGTATTGCAATAAAGAATTTATTTTCATTTTAAATTTGTGCTTCTATAAATTCTACCTCAGAGATAGGAAATTGATTTCTAAATATGTAGGTATATGTAGTTACATACAAAATTTTATAGCAATTCTATACGTTCATCAAGTAACATGAAATCCCTATCTTTAACGTAGAATAAATCTTTTGATCTCCATTAAGTGTGCAGCTTTCCGCTCGGAATGCTAATAATGCTCCCTTGTGAACTGCGCGCTGTAATAACAAACTTTCTCAATAAGTTTTTCTTTGCAAGATTCTATATTACGTGGGAACCGGTACTTAATTATAAATATTTTTGTCACTCCTATTTTGTTTTACGATTATGATAAACTAACATAATATTATATGTTACGTTTTTATTAAAGTATCAAATCTACAAGATGCTGTAGAACTCTGTACATATGAAAGGATATAACAATCATTGAGAAATTGTTTTGTCTTGCGGTGGCGTCCAAAACAATGCCACTTTAATATTTTTCCTTAGCTAACGGAGCTCCTAGGCGGATATTGGAAAACAGCATTTCCCCAAGTTGAGTCAGGTGTTGTGAACAAAGTAACAATAAATCACTACATCGGCATCACCAGGACAACACCGCGTTGACGGCCCGGAGAGTGCGCGGTGGTGGGCGGCGGCTGTAGACTGGTGGCTGTAGGCTGGCGACGCGCCAAATGATCCTAAGGAACTAATGCTCAGTTATTGTCTAATTTGTTATTAACTGACTAACAAAATGTGAGCAAGTTCTCAGAGTATCAATAAGTTTTACTACTACCTAAGATTCATCGTAATTTGTATTTGGGACAAAAGCTTAACTGACAAACATAAAAACGTATTGTATATATATAATGATGAGGAGATTTTGTGCGTTTGTTCCTGTGCTCTTATGCGTCATAACGTCTACTTCATTCTAATGAGAGTGTTTATTCATGTTTTTGTGAATTTATGTATCTCAACTATTGTTCACCAGCAAAACCACATTACACATTTTGACCACACTGCCATGTCATTGTAATACGGAAAAAGGGAGAAAGGAAATAGTGCTTCAATTAGCCATTAGTTGAGAACTCAATATAAAATAATATATTCCATTGAAATACCTTTGGGCTTTTGAAACATAAATGTTTGCGATATAAAGATACTGATCGTAATTTGTTTGTTCATATGCAATACTAGCGTTTATCCGCGACTCTATCAGTGTGAAATAATAAAATGTTAGGTAGAAACCTATTTGTTTTTTCAGACTATATTCTTTGCCAAATTTCAGCGTGATCCCTTTAGCCGTTCTCTCTATACTTTCTGACAAAGGTCCATTCATACGTCTAAACCTTCGCATTTATAATATTAGTAAGATAATAACGTTTGAGAAATCGTCTGAAGGGTATCATTGCTATGAATTGTCACCCATTGTTGCTTGTAGGCCGGGGCATAACGCCACTGTCGGACAGTAAGCTTAGTCCTTCATAGTACTGCTAAGTATTCCTACTTACTTCAATAAGGAAATTTGATTGTTTTATCACAGGTATACCTAAATTTGCGCTATACTGAGCGTTGAGGTGCAGACGGAGGGCGGCGTGCGGTGCGCGTGCGCAACCCGCCGCGACGCGGTATAAAGCCGGCAGGTGGCGGCGGGCCGGCTCCACTGTCCGCGCTGTCCCTCGTGCTGTATTGTAGTGCTTGTTACCTCGTTACCTGACGTCCGACATGTCGCTCACCGCTATTGTGAGTACCTAATCTATTTTTTATTCGCAAAAATATATTTTTTGTTTTCTACGAAAAAAAAATATTACAATGAAAGTTTTAAAATTTAAAAAAAGATTTAAAATTTATATAATATGTATAAAATATTATTTTAATAAAAAATTAAAATAACTGTTTATATTTGAATTGAACCACTGAACACATTTTTATATAATAATTTTGATACATTATTGTTAGGTCGCCAGAAAAATTCCTTATTAATAGAGGTTAATAATTGAATATGTTACTTGCACTTTGATATCGTTTCCATAATTACTTATTTATTTTTACTGAAGATTTGATTTATTTTTACTGTGATGGTAAGTGTTAGGATAATTAAATTTTACTGAAAATCGAGTATATGTCTACCAATAGTTAAATTGATGAAGGAATGTCCGACTTGGAAATAATTTTACAAATCAATGTATAGTAAATTATTTTCCTGAAAAATCAATGTATAGTAAATTATTTTCCTGAAAAATCAATGTATAGTAAATTATTTTCCTGAAAAAAAATCCGAGGAAATGACGAATTAACAACACCAGTATATAAATAACACAAGTTTTTGTAAATATTTTAGCTATGTTTACTTTAACCACTTATTGTTAGTTACTATGGTTTACAAAATATTTATTGCATGTTGTAGCATAACATCTGGTTAGCGATATACGTGTTTATTTAATTATTACTAATATTTAAAATATACAATCCGACTTCTGCCCTTGTTAATGTTAATGACAATCATAATATATGCAAGTAAAATATTAAACAAGGAATGATCTCATTCGAAGCTTTTTAAAAATATTGTACATTAAAATTAACATCGCCCTTTTGATTTTTTCCAATCTAAAAGTTTTATTTGTCTGTATTTCAATTTTCGTAACCCTTCTCTGTAAGTCTGCCTACACAGCATTAACATTGTAAATATAATCTAGGTGACGACTTATTACGCGTTTATCAATTCTTTATACGCGAATAACTCATTATATTGTTCAATCAAAGGAATTTGGTATTTTGTTGTGACGTCATCACGAGACTTGAATCTCTCACAAACGATGTAATTACACAAAAATTCAATTTGACTTGTTATACAATGAATAATCATCGTAAGACAATGAATAATCAACATTTTCTTCAAATTTTTTCAGCTTGAGCATAAACCTCAAACCAAAGTACTCGTTAATAAACTCTTTCACCTACTATGAGTAGATATCTTTGTGTCTCATGTATTTGGGAAAATTCTTAAAATGAATTCTTGGTAGAATGGCATCATTAGCGTTGAGCAATACGATGGTACAAGCAGAAGTAGCGCAGTAGAGCCGGCGAGGCTTGTCCCGCTGCTGGCAAGCTCCACAATTACGGGAAGTACTGCCGCGTCGCTTGCGCCATTTCACGCAATGGGAAGCGCGCTGTACCACTATTAGCAGTTACATCGTTACGCCATTTTTTAACATTTAAACATCTATATTTAAGAAATGGTATTACGTTACATATCTCCACTCAATATTCTCATTGGTTTGAGTTCACTTTGTCATGTAATATGTTTTAACGCAATTTTTCAAAACCACTCTAACGTACTTAATAAGTGTTTTCATTTAAATTTGAGATATGTTAAGCGCTCCGCTGTACACTCAAAATTTGCGTAATTATACAAAATCAATGAGCAAAGTTACATCTCGATTGAAATTGTGCTTTATCGCGACGTATAGTAATAAAAACTCAGAGGCCGTTGTAGTTAGTAAATGTAGTGCCGATCTCCGAGTTTCAATGACATAGAACAACATTTGATATCATCTAGTTAAACTCGGAAACGCTGAAGTATCCAACGAGATATATCAGTTAAAATTAAAACACGTCATACTACATAAAACGGTTTTTTGACTTCCAAATAATCTACAATCCGTCTTTATGTTTTCCTCAGTAGAATCTGCGTTACTCAGAAATACATTTTGGCCATTTACATACAAACAAAGTGGCCAATGAACCGCGCAGGCTGGCTCCAGTATCTCACGATGTTGCTACATTTCGGTAGTACGGACAGTAACACATTAAGCTACCAGGACTTGACCGGGTGAACGACCTTGCGGGTGAGGATATCGTGATATATGAAGGGAACCGTTACTATTCACTTACATTTTCTTTTTTGAAAAAAAAAAACTAAAACATTTTTCATACCCGAATTTGAAATCATATCTTAATCAAAACTTACTTTATAAATAGTACAAAGTGAACAAATAAAATAGTGTTTGGAAGTACATCTATCCATGTCGCGTGATGCCCGAGGACGCGATTGTCCCATACGCGATTGTACGCATTACGCACCCGTAACTCTTGTAAACGTTGCGGATGTCGATTGTTTGCAATTTGTACGTAACATCAGGAGGAACACTTAATCCTTTTCTTCCCTATCCGGTCCACTAGGCTATTCGATCCTCTAGCAATGTATTTGGCACTTTGGGAGGGTCGTCATAAATCCCCAGAGACTTTGGACGTGGGTGCGTGTGGGAGCGCAAGTAGGTGAAGGCCCGCGCGGGTGCACGCAGCACATACTAATGGCCACTGTTTCCTTCCGACGCCGACAGAATTGCGCGCAGTGAGCATGAGGTGCGCTGGACTCGCATCTCACAGTTTGCTCCTCACGCACCTACGCTATAGCGCTGCGCACCTCAGACACTGTGTCTGTCTTCTTACACAATTAATTGCCTACGGAGATTCCTAGAAAAATGAAGAGGTTGCAATAACCCCTACTATATCATATGTATTGTAGTCAATCGAATCAGCGTATATTATTCAGAGCGAGTTTCTGTAGTTTCAGAATAGCTAAGTGTGTAAATTATCTTAAAGCCGCATTCACGGCTGTGTTACAATACTTTTGTCTTTTTGCGCACAAACATTATAAGCACATTTTGACCTCGCTGTTAACGTGATAAAATGCGATAATTTTTTTAACATGATGCAATAATATGATAACGGATTAAAATCAACGAAAAAGACAAAAAGCCCTTGATGGTGCGCAAGATAAAACCTTTAGTGAACGTGATCTGAAAGTGTAAGGTGACGAGTTGCGAGTGGCGAGTGGCGAGTGGCGAGTGACTATCTGAGACACGTTGCGCGGGCGGCCGACACGTCGAGGACCTGCCCACCACTGACCCACACCTGGGGCTGACTGACATCTTAAGTCATTGAACGATATTGTAACACATACGTAAATTTTTACGGTGGATATTAGAAGAACCCAATTTAATGACTTCTCACTTTAACATTACGCATTAAAACAAAGCTCTCCTTGTTCGTCTGCACTGCCTCTTTAATGTTTATATTTATGATCTGTGGTTACCTTAAATGCTTTTTAACTTAGGACTTTTATTAATAAAAAGGTTTTATATTTCACTCTGGTAGCAGTCTACATTATTTACATGTTGAGCTTGAATAGTACTCGTTATAAATAAACATTAATAGTAGGCAAAATAATTGCTGTTCCTGCCACAAGACGTGTGGAGTGCGATGTATCGCGCACGAGCATCTGATGACAAGCGCAGATGATGTAAACACACAAACAAACACATTTAACATTCATTTATTGTAATTTATTCGCGAGAATGCTGGCAGCCGCCGCACTACAACTATTTTGTTGACATAATACTTACCTTCGTCTGCTCGATGCTTGATAACTATTGCTTTGTTAACGCGAACGCGAACGCGAACGCGGGAAACTTGCACCTAATGGTTGTTATTTTAAGGGACTTTATCTGCAAATATTCCGTGTATATAAAAAAGGCAATGTAAAATTTATGTTTACTTTATCTTTTCAAATAACTTAGATGTAAGAGACCTACAATTCTCTCATCCACAATTTTTTTGTAACTCTAGGCGGTGCGCAGAAATTTACTGTTTATGCATGTTTAAATTACTTTTGTTATAATAAATATAGCTTATGGTGCTCAGTGATAATAAGGTTACATTCTAATAGCAAAGAAATCGATCCATTAGTTTTTCAGTATATTAATTACATCCAAAAATAGAAGCCTTTCCACTTCATAATATTAGTATAGAGTAGTATAGCTGCAGATTAAACTGACGACCGTCTCGCAGCTCGCGAACAATGTAAGTAATGGCATTTTATTCCGCATTCGTTTCAATCACATGGACATATCGATACAACATATTCCCAACTGATTATTCACTCAACGTCTATTAGATAATTTATTTATAAAGGTCAAAGAATGTTTTATTATCTTGTAAATTAAAACGCTAATTATTAGCTAGTGCTTCGATGTTGCTATAACAAGTTTAGGGAGCGCAGTCTTCTATGGTTCATTGTAATTCAGCACGTACGCCGCGACGGCCAGCGCCGGCCAGCGCCGAGCAGCTGTCATCCTTCAGCATGCGCCGAGGAAAATATAACACGTTTCATTTTATTACGACACATCAGTTGACTTTCCGAAGTGTCATTGCATAACGGACTGTAACGCCGAGTAGCCGAGTATCTCGCTAAAGTTATCAAGATCTAAAATTTTGGTCGTCACTGACGCTGTGAGTTCTATTAGGAGTTTACATATTCTAAAAAATAAAATAGATAAGAAATTAATAATAAAGATAAAATAATAAAGATGGGGAGGGAATGGGATATGCAACGCTGCACTTACAAATAGCGTACTCCTACCCTAAAGGCCGGCAACGCATCTGCGGTTCCTCTGACGTTGCGGATATACATGGGCGTCAGATTAAAATAATTTTAGGATCGCCTAAAATGTGACAAAAGACAACGTGGCTCTTTGTCCCCTTCTCCTGTAAAAAATACCTGGCAAGAAGTATAGAAATATACATGGACATTAATTCGTTCATATCAAAAATGTAACTAAGTGAGGCTTTGTAGCGGTATAGTTCCTAATTCTCTTTTGGTTTTAAAATCTCCTTTGGTTAGGACTGGTAAAAACCATCGAGTTCCATACAATTCAGGCGACAGCATGTAATGAACAGTACCGGTTATTCTTACGGATAGCGACACCTAATATGTAGTGTTCACCCGCACCTATTGTATTGTTATTGCAGCTACAGCTGGCGACGGCGGCGCTGTGCGTGGCTGCACAAGCAGCGCCCCCCTCCTCGCCACACTTCTTTTCCGCTACACATCGCCGCCACATTAGTCCGTGAGTATCCAGACGACGTCCCCTCTGCGACACAGAGAATTGGCGGACAGTGGCCGTGGCGGTGACAGTAAAGGAATACTTTCTCGCTTCTTCTAAATTCTCACACCTAAGCTATCCATTGAGTAATGAATTTTGATCGAAAAATATCCAGAGGTTTCATACTTGAAATATAATAATATGATGTCAAGTGCGATTCGATTTTATTGATCTAATTCATTTTCTATTTCAGATTAGATTATTACATGGACAGTCCAGAAATGGTAAATTATTACACGTTGGCACAACAGAAAAACGGTAAATATTATTTTTACGATTATATCTGGTTTGTGCTTTTCTCTTACTGAACCGCTTGACAGATTATGTTGAAATTTTAATCCCTATTCCGAGGACACTAGGGAAAAGGACATATTATAAAAAAATTAAAACTCTGAAGATTAATATTATTTTCAGTGCTGAGGAAACTTTTTGTTAGCACTGCTTATTCTGAGACATCATTTAGATGTTTAAGATTTTCTACATGACACGTCGTAGTTTGTAACAAAACATGTTGTATTTTACCTTTTTTGAGCTCAACACACTAAACGGCTGATCGCCCACCAGCGACTAGACTTTGACCCCATGCTTTCATTCCTATGGTATATGGTTAGAAAAATGAGTATTACAACTGTTTGGTTGACCCAGTGCCATCGCGGGCGGCGCGGCTAGAGACCTTGGAGCCTGATAGCGAGGTGGAGTTGGTGCCCGGCGTGCAACCCCCTCAGCAGCCCCTGCAGCCGCCCCAGGTACAAACGCACTCATCACGTCACGTCAATATACATATTTTAATTTTATTACCATATTTAGTTAAACAATACCTTTGTATATAAAATTTTATTTATTTAATCAATGAATAAGGATGATTCACAGACATAATACTATGACTAATACTGAATAGCACGTGAATGTCTTGACCGGCAGCCTCCCGTAGCGGGCAACATCCCCGGCCTGGTCCCGGGACAGCGGGTCTTCATAGTGCACATGCCGGTCCCGGGCTACAGGTGAGCACTGCCACTTCGCCATACATACATACAGGCTGCGGTACACGGAACCCATTATATACTTATGTTTTGATCTGTTGTCAGGCCGGGTACTATTGGAGGATATCAGCCCGTGTACATCGTGGCCGCCGCGCCGCAGGGGCACTACGCTGGAGGTACGTACTCTACATTACACAATGTCAATCATGTTATTTTCTAGAGAATAAAAATGTAAAGAGTAACGCTTAATGAACGGGTCCGCACTGTGACGTCACAGGCTACCAGAACACGCTGCTGGTGGATCCCTCGATGCAGGTGGTGTCCCCCCTGCAGCTGCGCGCCGCGCCCCCCGCACCCGTTGCACCCGTCGCGCCCGCTGCACAGCCTGAGCCCCCCATGTTGCTCGGCACGCCACTCGGATACAACGCAGTCAACTTTCTCTACAACTCTAAAAACTACAGGTAAACTATTGTAGATAGTAATTTAAAGCTGTGTGCTTTTCTAACAAGCATGGCTTCAAACAAAATAAATGTGTGGTGTGGTCGGCAGGGGCGCAGCCAGCGCGCAGGGCCTAGCCGAGCAGGCGCGTTCGCCAGCCGGAGCGCAGCCGCCTGTAAACAACGCTCCGGACAAAGGTACCATCGCCACACTAACTATACTACGAGTATATAATTTTTTTTTTAAAATGATTGCAATTATTGTGGGATTCAGCTATAGTGTTTTGACATATTATGTAGGCAACGGATAATCTACAATAAAATGATTTGATTAACTTCCAGAAGCAGTGACAGGGTCGGAGGCGAGGCGAGTTGGGCACAAGGGAGGACACAAGGCGGATCATGAGGCAGGGCATGAGACGGGCCAATCGGGCAGCGAGGAGACGAGGGAGAGCCTCGAGGACGCCCGCCTCAGAGCAGAAGACGCCAGCATGTAGCTTCTCCATTGATCTACTGCTTCATATGGCCTTCGTCATTATCTATTTCAAACCTAAATTATTTTCTTCTGATTCTCGATCTTTCTTAACAACCATTTATAACTAAGATATTGGCGCAAATATTCCTTAAAAGGCTACTAGTGTTGTAAATAAAAATCCGTAGTATAAATAACCTCTGTATGTTTTGAAACGTTTTGGGTTTAATCGCAATAGTTTACCAACTCATGTAAATCATGTTATTTGTAAAAATAGTAAAATATTATTATACTTTGTAAAATAATTACATTTCTATAGGTTTAAAAATAAACGATTATACAGGGTGTCACAGAATGGTGCAATAATTAGACAGGGATTGATATATTCCACGATGTAGAATGTAGACTAATTGTTTTATAACAGCAATATTGTTTGTGTGCTGTATGTAACCTTTGTTACTGTAGCTATTTAAATAATATCGATTTGATGGTGTATTTTGTTTTGTTGAAATTTAACACCTCCTGTATCCCCCGCCCTCCCCGCACTGTGCACACAATGTCACCACCGGTAGCGCTGTCACTTTCCCTCACAATGGCTCCCACGCACTGTATTAGAAATACTACACAAATCCTTATAACTTACTTAGATTACGATCCTTTATTACAGTGATTTTTAAACTTTCATAATATTATATGTTAACATAGACTTACACTACCTACATAAATTACAGTCAAAAATATTGTTTTGACAACTATTTACATATTATCAAAAAAACAAACATAAATAGATTGTGGCGCCCTCTCCCGCAGTGCCATCACGCGACAACACGCAAATATAACAGAAGCGATACAAACATACATTATGAAAATCTTAATTGTGGTTAATTTCGTTTCCGTAAACATTTTGCATGAAAGGTAAGGTGCAATTTTAATACAATATTTCATTCGAGGTGTTATATAGTCCTGACTTATTTAAGCGCCTGATAGAAAATAAAAAGCAAGCAAATATCTGTCTGTACAGTACTAATGTGTGACTTTCCCAGAGCGCACGAGCAGCACCACTCCTCCGACGAGGCCCTCCTGCATGAAGGTACATTTGCATTACTCTTATATAGACACAATAAATAAAACATTAATTATATTGCAATGTAAATTGTTATAATGGCCAATATTATCATATACGATCTATTTCTACTTTGAAATCGTCATATGATGTTTATATCTTCTAAAAAGTAAATACTTACGTTTCAGACGTCACACCAACGAAGCTGCGGCACAAGCATCCCAAGCCGGTCGCCGACAGCGAGGAGACCAGAGATACTAGTATCGAAGAGACCAAGACCATCAACGCGACCTCAGTCCTGCGATATGACGGCAGCAAAAACATAGCGTACGTGCCCTCGCAATCTTATACAAGATTAACTTAACTTTATCTGCATTTAAATATTGCCCGCAATGGCTATTTCATGTAACAGTCAAATTTCAATTAGCTTTTTATATAATTCGTTTAGTTGTAAGCAAACATGTGCCTTGCGTTGTGAGCAGGGAGGGCAGTCGCGGCGGCGGGGACGCGGTGCAGCTGTACCTATTGACGCAGCCGCGGACCAACTCCGGCACCGCCCCGCGCAACTCCAGCGAACGTAAGCGCGACTCCGTCCAGGCAGTCAATGACTGTCCATTGTTACACATGGCCTGCCTCGAATACCGCTTTCATTTAAAACATCCTAATATATAGAATGAGCCATGCTTAATGCTACTTAAGTTTTGAAATACATTTATTTGGTTCAATAGCTTTCCACTTATATTACAAATAATATCAATTAAACCTACAAAATAAATAAGATAAAAGTACATCAAGTACAAAAAAATCCAAAAATGTAATTCGACGAGCAGATGCAATGCAGTCGATGCAGACGGTGCAGCTGGTGCAGCCGGTGCAACTGGTGCAGCCGGTGCAGCCGGTGCAGTTGGTGCAGCCGGTGCAGCTGATGCACCCAGTGGGGCCGGCGACCACAGCCCCGTCGATGACTGCGTTGACTGCAGTGAAACCGGGCAGGCCACTGCACCCCGACGAGCAGGAGGCACATACGGACCAGACCGAGAGCGAGGAGACCGCCGAAAGTACCGAGGACGACTCCAGCGCTGATTCTACCACCGCGCACACCGTCACCGACAACTCGGGGTAACACTATTATAATGCTTGTCTTTAAATACGACCATGATGTTAATATATTTCTACGTTTCGTGTGATGAATGATTTGGTTTGCAGAGAGGCAGCGAGGTTGCTGTCGGGCGAGGACCTAGAGGCCCAGAGGGAGGTGCTGCGCCAACAGCTGCGACACATGATCGATCGGATCAGAGGTAAATTGCCGGATAGTGAAGAATAACTGCCTGAAAATGTATTATTATTAACTTGCAACCGGCTACTGGCTTGAATAAAAATATTTTGACAAGTTATTTGACCGTTTTGATGGTGATGCCTGAATATTGATTGCGCAACGCTTTCGCTACACTACACATATTACAGACTAGTATAAAAATATTGACACTTTAATGACTCTTTAAGCAACTTTTTTCAATACCTTCTTAAGAGCAGCAACGAGCCCAGCGTAAAGGCGATGAGAACGACCTCGGAGGGGGCAAGCGGCGGCGCGTGGCCAAGAGCGGCGAGCGGGCGGCCCGACCGGCACGACGGCGACAAGACCCCGCGCCCTGCACCCGCCACCACACCGCGCACCTGCAGCCCGCCGCCAGCCTCGCACATCTCTACTCTGGGTAGTGGCGCCCGCCTCGCCCTCCTCGCCCTCCTCGCCCTCCTCGCCCTCTTAGCTGCTCTCAACTACAACATAACTGACTTGGAAACGTTGCGCAACCACCGCCTAGGATCATTTCTTACATTCTCTTGTAATATAATGAGATAGTCTTATAAGATAGTGTGGTCAAGTATACTGAGAAGAAATACCAATATGAACAATTTATCGGCGGGCCGATCGACTTAACGGGAAACACGCAACACTGATGCCCCATTACCACCTAGTATTATCGAATAACTTGGTTAAATATTAATTTTTATAATTCCAAATTGCCTTTTAAGATTACTCTTACAAACTTTAATCGCCAATTTTACTCTCTAATTTAGGAAATTGTTAGGACAATGTCTGACTACGGCCGGTTGCAAGATCTAATCTATCGCAATATTTAAATTTATCGCATTGTCTAGCAATACCTTACCAGTAGTGTGCGGACAACGAAAGCCGTGATAGATTAATTTACATGATTAAAATGATTAGATACTTTCGTGTTGTGTTTGCTGTTTCCACTGACTTTGCCATAAAACAACAGTTAAATTCTGGTTACATTTGTCGAATCTACCGCGGTGACAACTGACAGGTGACAGATGACAGATGACCCCTGACAAATGACAGATGACATATGACTGCCGTGACCACTGCGATGCCTGTGTGTTTGCAGCTCAGGGCCGGTGGATGTGAAAAGACTTTCGGCTTGACGTGTCTGCTGCCCAGAGACGTGACTTATGCATTTTATGTCCTGTATAAAAGTGAAGTCAAATAGAATACAATAATGTTGGTGCCATGTATGTAATTAGATCATGACCTGGATGATGGATGTTAATAAAAAAAAATCAAAATATGCTCTATGTTTTTATTTCCTTTTATAGATGCAGATATTTTGTTACTTTTGACCAAACATAACTTGATTTGTAAGTAAAAGCATCAGATATATTTATACAACTCGCCGTGTTCCTATTATATCTGCAAGCTGTATAAACAACGAGCGATGCAATCACAGCGGTTCCGCTGCCTATACATATGTCTTTATAAAAATTATATTATAGTATGACAAAATAGTACTTAATACCTTATGGGCTTAAACTACTTCACCTTGGCTTCTGACACAAAGCCAGTTTTTTCACGTGGCTCAGGTGATTTACATTATAGAAGATTGAACCGTTTTTTACATTACCTACTTTGAAGAGCGGGACCTTGTTACGTGATGGACGTACAAATGTCTAACATAAAGCGGAATACGATATCAGCAGGCGCTAACTGTAATCCTTGTTAGCAAAAAATATCGCCGCATAGGAATAGAGACGCTAAGCACGAGACTACATCCGCGCTCAGTTCGCCGCGCCCCGCACCTCACTCCCTGCCCCGCACCCCCTGCGCTGCTTTGCAAACGGCACTGTCCTGTTTTTACGTCGGTTCGCTTATGCAATAGTGCTTAAGGAAAACGGGTATACATTATTTCCTAGTATTTCTGGACCCGAGAAGTATGAAGGAAGAAATTTCCGCAACGAGCTGTAAACAGCTGATTTTGTTACATTTAGTAAATTAATTACTTACGGACGGGGTAATTTCCTACTACCGCAATACTAAACAATAATAATTGATGTTTGAACAATATACCTAACTGTTTATGGCTATCAAAATTTCCTTATGAACGTTTACTTATCGTATGAAATAAAGTTTTACAAAGTGTTTTATAATTCTTAATCTAGCCTTATGCCACAAACGGGCGTAGACATCCAGACCCCCAACTACACTTGGGTTCAACAACAAATATTTCGCAGTTATTAACGTTTTCGACGATTTTTTGCGCATAAAATAAAATACAGTACATCCTATTATGTACCGTTAATTTAGTTATGTCCCATTGAACTCTACAATCGGCAGATTGACCGCGAGCCTCGTCAAAACTGCACATGCAATTATACACAATAAACACCGCCCGCCCCGCACCGCCCTGTCCTGCTCTGCTCTGCCGAGAGAAGTCCCCACCTTTCACCTTGCGTCGACGTCGCGCCGCAACGTCCGAGCGACCACGCAGCGGAAGTCGACAATATGTTGATCAACAAAAACAATCTATAAATCGCTTAGTTTCTCGTTCTTCACTCAAGTGTAAACATTTAAAGTATCAAAGACGTAATTATCATGTTGCAAGTACAAGTAGTCCATTGCGGAGCGCAGTCACCGGTCTGCATGCCTTACCGTTACCATCGAATCTGATAGACCGTCGCTAACGGGCTCCTTTCCTGTGCGATCTGTGCGCGATAAAGTACCCGCGGACCCGACAATCTTGTACATGTCCCGCGAGCTCCGGAACCTTAGACTTTAATCGTGCAACATAGACATCGCTGTAACATCACCAACCGCAAACTTAACAATGTCGCTAGCAATTGCCAGGTTATCATTTGCAAATTAGAAGACTTACGACTTACTGCGAAAGTAGAAATACGTGATATTCAATGAACAAGATCTGTTCCAGATAACACACATCCTGAGTAATTGCTATTGATTAAGGTGGAGATTAACAAGCGGCTACAATAAATAGTAATAACTGAAGGAGGAGGAAAACATCATTTATTTTGAAGAAAGAGAGTTGGTAGAAAAAAAAGTCGTTACAGATTAGCTGTTACTTCTACGTAAAGGAAATCGTATGTAATATATGATCATTATCACAGTAAGACTGGAGAGAGTACTAAACGTCGGACCCTTGCGCTAACCGTAGTGAAACATGATAGGAGAAAGTCATAGTGCTCTTGCATCGATAATTATATTTTATAAGTATTCGATGTTTTCTTGGTAGGCGGGATCTGCAACTAGTCATATCTGTGAGAGGTCACAAATCTCGTCAAATGTACATACTTTATCTTCTACTGTTTATAAATATAAATAATTATCGTAATCCATAGCCACATATCAGCATTTCTAAACTTAAATAAAATTTTCTAATTTAATGTGTATGCAAAATCTGAGGCCATTAGCCTCCTCGAGCGAGACTCAGAAAGCAGGACATGAGTGTTGCGATTCGTTCCAGGAAATTGGCAAGGTGGTCGACCGGCGACCAGAGACTGGGGACTGGTGACTGGTGACTGGTGACCTCGAAACAACGCCTATAATTGTCTTCTTTTTTTAGAGCTTCCGATTATCGACCACTAGCCGATAATGAGCTGCATAACATTAACAACACTCATAGTGTTACTGAGCATAGAGTTTTTCTACACGTCTGTACATCCACTCGCTGTATTTTTTCATCATTGTAGCGTAATATTCCTACTTTAAAATACTAATACTAAATAAATTAATAACAAATAAACATACCCCACTGGCCTCATTTTGATTATGATCGCGCTTGTCAGCGCCGGCTGATACCGGACACCCGCACTAGCTCTTTCATAGCTGTAAATATAATTAAACATCTATCAACAAATAGTCCATCGCTATCCCATAGAGAGGTTCAGAGCAGCAAACGCTGCAATGGCGGGCGTTTCTCTTGTTGACAAAATAATAATGATAAAGAGACCAGTTAGAGCAGAACCGTTAGGTCCCGCGCTGTGTGCCCACTTCCGCCTCGTGACCCCGCCGGCCGAGGGTCGAGCTACACCGGTGCACTGCGCAGATGACTCACACCAATCGAGATGGAAGTGCTTTCCAAACGAAAGGTGTCGAGAGATCGCTGCAATTATCAGGCGGCCATCGTAACGCAACGCAATTACTATCTTTTTGCCGAAGACCCGTTATCTCGGCTTAGATGCGGAGCAAAAACGCAGCGGGCGCAGTGTTGACGCATCCGCCGCGCCGGCCGCACGCTGCCGCTCCGCACCTAGCCCGCCTGCCAGGCACCGCGCAGCACGTATCATGTCGCCCCGCGCCCTGCTGCTCTTGCTCGCCGTGGCGTGCGCCAGCCGGGCGGCGGCGCGCCCAGTGCGGCGCACACTCAATTTCAACATGTTCGTTCTCAAACCCAAGGAGGGTGGTCCGGAGCGCACCATCCTCACCACCGATGGAGTGTCGCGGTTTGGCCCCGTCATCGAGTACCTGGTGCAGCGAGTACAAGGCCTACTATCGGTCAGGAACGGCCCGGAGCAGCTCGGCGGGCTCGAACCGTCCATACCCAACTCGTCGGAGAACGAAATTGATTCGGCACAAGAGTCGCGAATGCCCGGAGTCGTGGTGCGGCCCTCGGTCACTAAGCCGGGCACCTACGAGGTGGAGATCGACGTGCTGGTGGACGACGGCCAGCCCGCAGACCACGCTCGCCGCTAACCGCTTCCGGCCGTCGCTGACCACAATCTCGTGATATAGTTTACGATAGTCACCATGACTGTCACAAGTGTATTTCCATAATTTATTTATTCTTGCCATAGAGTTTAATTTAATAAATTATTATTTTGTACTTTTATTACATTTTTATCTTTATTAATTCACATGACTTGTTATCTTGCGAAAGATATTGAGGAAAAAGGTATTAGTTCGGCAATCTCTTTTATTTACTTCCAATATAAAACAACATCAAGTATATTTTAAGCCCTGCAAAGTGGTTCACATGAGAATATACTCAAACTGGTGTAAAACAGAAAATATGTACAGATTTCCAATACAAATATGGTATCCTCATGCATGAGTGCTTTTTTTGAGCTTTCACAACTAGTAGCCATAAGTTGAAAGTTGTCTTATTTACTATAACTTTGGACAAATTTGACAATAATTCGTATAGAGTTGGAAATTTAACTATAGGAATGTTCGGAACTTCAAAACATAGGGCTTTCAAAGGCGCTATCAATATAGTATTTGGAAAAAATAGTTAAACACAGACTTAAATCCACTTTAACAGTGCAAGAGGCCGAGTTCACAACTGTTGCACAATATGTCGACACTACCGGTGAAGTACTACCACCACACAGAAGAGAGGCGTACAGTGGAAGCAATCATCGCATCGTATTTGCAATTTTACACCGTTCCCGTTTCCCACCCTTTCCTAAAAAGACCAGGAAGAACGGGACGGGAAGGGGAAATGCCCTCTTTCTATCCATCTCCTCTTCTGTCCATTTAAGGTAGGTAGCGCGACGACAATTTGTTATAGCTTGACTACGGTCATCGGTCGATTCGCTTTTCTAGCGAAATCAGGTGGCCGCTTGTTCTTTTGCTGCCTCACGCTATAAATAAAAGAAACAAGATTAAAAGTAACGAGTACATCATGCAGTTAATTGAGCATGAAATGTGATTTTATGTTAGTAACTCACATCACGCAATACGATGGTTGGCATGAAGCTGTCTTTGATGCCAGTACTCATTGAATTCAACTGAATTGGCTAGGGATTTAGCTGCATTTGTTAGAAAAATGAAGATATTAAAGCGCCTCCAAGTAACTTAAATAGATGGCAACATGTTAACTCGTTTTATGACATTGTGGCGATTAGCTGCCTTTGATTTTAGTTACAACGTCAAAGGAATATTTTTTTAGCTATAAAGAGATCGCTATGAATGTATACAGAAGTTTATTCGTAATTTTTAAATATTATTATACTACATCCATTATATTCCAAAATATATATATATTAACGGGACGAAGATTTTAATAGCAACAAATAATCCTAATAATAATTAGCAAGAAAGCGCAGCAACAACTCGTGTAAACGTACCAAATGAAATAATATTTCCTCGTATTATGACAATTTTGTATCAATAATCAAAATTCCAATATTATATTATAATATATAAGTAGAAGGTAAGTCATGGCTCCTGCGTAACCTAAGAGTAATATCATTCAACGCCATCTAGTTCATTTTTGTAACACTAACATCCTCGTGATTGGATCATTGCTCGCTATAAAATGCCTTAAACATGTACGAGATGGCGCTACCAAACCGCAAAATAAAAATATATATAGATTTAGTAACTTGCAAAAATTAACATGTTTCAAGACTCACAATAAATATAAATAGCAGAAGTACAGGAAACAAATTTAATATATTACTATCACTTGGAGCTAAACCTCTTTAAAATGAAGCAATGGTATTTTCCTCGCTTATTTCTTCACTCATGAGTAAATGTAAGTAATAGTTTAGTAGGTACATATTTATTGAAGGCTGATAGAAAAGTAGGATAACCTCCTCCTATTTTGCAGTCGGTTATTAAATCGATGCGGGCCGTAATGGCAATTTTATCTAATGCAACCCACAGTTGTAATATTGGTAGTATCATGATTAGCAGCTGTCTGTCACACAACAGTGGTAGAGCCCGCTTTAAAATCTTCGCACGAATTGGCCCGGTTCGCCCGGTGAAATACCACTACCACACAGAAGACAGGCGTCAAGTGGAAGCTATTTCGCGTTTCGTCTGATGATTGTGCGTCCCGGAGGCCTAATTTAGTCCTCTTTCCCTTCCCACCTTTTTTCTTATAAGGAAAGGATGGGAAGTGGAAGTGGACTCTCCGGATGAGAGGATGCATGGAAAGAGAATATATTTTCTTTCTGTGCGTCCTCTTCTCTGTCGATTAAAGGTAGACAACGCATATGCAATTGCGTATGTCTATGGGCAACGGTCACTTCGTTATATCAGCGATTTCAGGTGGCCGCTCGCTCGTTTGTCTTTGCCACCTTATGATATAAAAAAAACACCATTGACTACAACAAGCAACCCCGAAGTATCCACGTGACATAGTGTGATTTTTTTAATCCAATTTTAGCTTTGTAATGGGGCCCAATTTCTAGGATCGAGGTCAATTTAAAATAAAAGCCACCAAAGTAAGGTAATGTTGGTTAGTAAGCTACTTATTTCCGTGTCAGATCATATCAGCAGACAGCAGACGTTTACTACTTACACCGGTTTTTCCCGGGAGCAGGAATCTTTGCAACTGTTAGAGCCTGCCATATATATTTTATTTTAGAGCCTGCCTTATAATTTTTCGTTGGTACTATCTAGTGTTTGTTATGCGAAGGACTTAATTTATTACAAACAGTTTGAAAAAAGCAATCCAATTATTTATGTTTTCAGTTAACGTCTGCGATATTCCAAGAGAAACAAACTGATCGGACATTTTATGCCTTTCTTTACACTTTGTTGTAGCCAGCTGACGTCACAATTTGCCTTTGGGAAACACCTTCGGTCTCACTGGTGTGATACAGCAAACTGCAGAACGTACTGATTCGAGTCCGAGGCTCATTCGCTCGCGAGCTCAGTGTTACCCGATTTACAAAAAAGTAATTAGCGGTGTGAGTCGCAACTGCTGCTCTTATCATTTCTGTTACGTTCTGACTTCGACTACAGTTCAATTACTGTCTGAATTACAATGCCAAATGAATATAAGAACGTCATAAGACCCGAGTAATTTTTATTTGGGTCTTATGACAGAATTAAACCGAAGAAAGTTTGAATATAATATTATAAGGATAAAATAAATTAAGACAAAAAAATAAAATAACAAAATATGGAGGTGCCTTGACACCCTATTTAAAGGCAGCCAACCTCCCAGAGGGGGCATTTGCTCGTTGCCTTTGAAGGCGTTAGGTCGTGTCAAAGTGCATAGTGTAAACGTGGGTAGTGTCGAATAATTGTGTAAATTAACGGTTGATTGTTTGTTCGTAATTTAGTAAAATTGCTGAAACTTTATTTTGTAAAAAGATAGTAAACCTAATTGTGATTCTTTCTTTTTTTTAAATAAATTTTTGTTATAATTGCTAAAATCAGAAGTGGGATTGGCCACCCAGCTCACTGTCTGCTTTCTAAATTATTTTTTAGGAGGGTGAACAAACAAACAGCCGTTAATTGAATCTCTTTTGTGTTTTAATAAAAATTTGCTCGGAATGCGTAACCGGTTCAGATCGCGTAGTAGGTCGGAAGGTGGTACTCCACCGTTGCGAACAAGTAAGTCTCGTAAGAGAAGTCGTGGTGCTGGTCGTAGTAGGGACACGTCTGCGTCTAGTGATAGTGACAGTGAACGATCATCGGTATGTAGTCGAAAACGTTATTCAAGATTAGGTAGTGATCGAACGCGACGTCATGATCGTGTCCAGTGCGAGCAACCGTTTAGGCCAGACGAACGTCGTCGTTCGCGTAGTCGTGAAACTTCGATGAAGGAAACATTGAACGCTATTATGACTCGACTTAGTAATATCGAACAAAAGACGGCGGATACGTCCTCGTTGCCATCTCAACGTGACAACACACCTCAAGGTAATCGTGAACCATTTGTGACTGCCACGCAAGCACTAGCGGACACCATCCTCAGTATTAATCGTGCAAATCGTGGTTACTTTGTATCCAATTTCGATCCTTCTGTACATGACTTTGAGGTGTGGTGTTGCGAGGTAGAACGAGCTAAATTATCTAACGGCTGGACTGACTTAGAGTGTTTATCGCGTGTCGCGGTTTGCCTTAAAGGTGACGCTAAGACCTGGCTTAACGAATGGACGACGAATGACCGGTCGTGGTCAAATTTTACTAAAGAATTTAAGTCTCTTTGTCCAAATAAGATTGACTACGCTAATATTCTTTTCGACGTAATGAACACATCCTCGGACAAATTTCAATCTTATGCCGAGTACGCTCGCCGGTCACTTTTACGACTTCGTATAGTTAAAGGTCTCGGTGAAGAACTTATGATTCAAATTATAATCCGTGGAATAACTGATGCGCAAATCAAGGCAGTAGCTTCAAACTCTAATTTAACGGTCGAGAATGTAGTTTCGTTCTTAGCCAACTATACTAAACCTAAGTTTAATGTTAAATCTGATAATCATAAACCATTCATACCAACCATACATAAGAATAAGTCGCGCAATTCTGGTTCAGATCAGAAATGTTTTGGTTGTGGTAAGCCTGGACATACTGAAGTTAATTGTCGCACTCCGGCTCAACAACATGCAAATACTAGGGATAGTGGTTCTAGAATTACGTGTACCTTTTGTAAAAAAGTTGGTCATAAAGAAGACGTTTGTTTTACCAAGTCTAAATCATTAACTCAGGGTACAAATCGGAGAAATATTAACTTATGTAAAGAACTTCCAAATTGAATTTCCACATATAGCACCAGAAATAGATTTTGTAGTTGTACCCGCCATTTATATGAAGATATCGATTATTATTTTTACCGATGTACTGAATAGGGATGGGTAGTCAGTATTAGAATTCGAATTACACGTCAACGTAGTACAGAAGATAGATGAACCTATTAATGTTAACACTCCTCTCCAGAGTTCCGAGTGAGAATTATTAAAGTCCGTTATCACTAAAATTTCAATCATTTTTAATAACCGGTACGGCGTCCACAACGGTTAAGGCGTAAAACATGAGTATTAGGTTATCCAGTTCAATACCGGTGGTCTATCATCCTTATCGACTATCCCATTTAGAAAAGTTAAAAGTGCGCGATATAATTTTAAGACGACAGATATGCCATGGTCAGGTTAGGCCGAGCCCTGGCAAGATGCAATGCTAAATAAGTCTGGTAGCTCCTTGGTTTTGCCGGTTGTTTCCATCAGTATATGAAAGATTATGCGACGTTGTCCACGAGCGGCGCAGGTGGACAACATCGAAAGATCTTTAAACTGGGCACAGATTGCCCAGGCCGCAAACACCGAAACACGAATCCTATTACGAAAATGATTAGATGGTCAATTGGACCCTACACGTTATGTGTGTCAAAACGAACTCCTGTTTAACGGTATTCCCTGGTAGGAGAGGAATCTAGACTGTCGTGTTACATCCCTAAAGGTTATCGCTCGAGCTTATTGCAAATTTTCCATGATGAGCACCAACATATAGGAGCAGATAAAACTTACGATCTTGTACATAAACATTTTTGGTTTTCAAGTCTAAAACATTTCGTAAAAAAAAAAAACCTCCCATTGCCTTATCTATATTTCAAAGAAACACAAAAAAAAAACAACGATATTCTGTTCAGTACGGTTCATTTTGATGTTCTCGGTCCTTTCTCTAAGTCAAATGACTACCAAGTTTATGTTGATTTTAGTACATTCCTCCACTAAATTCTGTTTTTCCTATTTACCGACATAATCCCGTCGAGCTTAAACGCACCTTTGATTACGCAATACTAATGTTTGGCGTACCAAAGATGTAGGTTTGTGACCGAGTAAGAATGTTTGAATCTTTCACCGCTACAAAAAGAGTTGGGTTGCGAAGTTCACTACGTAACGTCCGAAATGCACCATGCAAATGGTCAAGTCGAGCGTTATGTACGAACAGTTTTAAATTTGATTCATGTTGAGATTTATTATAATAACAGCATTTAGTCTGATTCACTTTGTAAAATACAACTTTACAACAAATTGTCTGCGTTAAATTTGTTGATTTTTATTGAAGCAACCACTCCTGTTATCCGTGCGTTGATCCGCGATGTGACACTTGAGGAGCACCGACCAAACCGCGAAGGGTGGAGAAAAATTTGCAGGACTCGAACCAGAACTTTACCAAGAAGTAATCGAGAAGAGCAGGATGCACGTGTGTGTCATCCAGCGTCGGTACCCTTCGGGAGTATTTCAAGTTGATGACTTAGTGTTTGTTATCAAATACTCCCAATCCACTGGTAAGCTAGACTCGGGTATGCGAGGCCCGTACAAAGGTGCTTGAAAACGATCTATACGAACTCAGTGGAGCCTGTGGTAAGACTACACAAGCGGCTCAATACATGGTGTTGTGGAAAGGATAGTGGTGTCCTGAGAGTTGTGCAACGTTCTTTGAGAATGAGTTTTGAAATCTATCTAATGCCTTTTATTTTGTTCAGATATGGTCGATCCGGCTGGCCTCAGTTGCGGTCCGGATGAAGTACTCTTCCTGCAGACACATTCAGACAAGGGTTCTATTGTGATCTGGTAGGATCTGGCTGGCCTCAGTTGCGGTCCGGATGAAGAACTCTTTCTGCAGACACATTTAGACAAGGGTTCTATTGTGATCTGGTAGGATCTGGCTGGCCTCAGGTGCGGTCCGGATGAATAGCTTTTCCTGCAGACACATATAGGCAAGGGTTCTATTGTGATCTGGCAGTTATGGATGACGTGCAGGCTGAGCTCTAGCACTTTAAGACACGCTCAGAGATTAAAGGCTCTGACGTGGTCAAGCTTTAGTCGGGTCCTCTCAGACACGTTTAGAGACAGGGGCTTTATCGTGGTCTGGGTGGGCTTTGACTGGTCGGATGCACCGTAAAGACAGGGGCTTTACTGTGCATGTGACAAACACGCAGGGGTCGTGTTATGTGGTGGTTGACTGTCGCGGAGTCACCCGCCATGTAGATAGTTTAGTATGACTGAGATTATGAATGTCGATGTGTGAATTATAAGTGTATGAGTTAGATAGGAAACTAGCTGGTTATGTTAGACAGTGTGAAGGGGCCTTGATTGTGAGAAGGATGAAAGATAGGCACACGTATTATTGTTTATCAAACTTTAACCAAATTATGAATTTGACAGATACTGACTCTGAGTCTGAAACAGTGGAGACACAAGGCGGCTGTTTACAAACTTATTAAGGAACGATGCAGAAGCTGGACCATCGTCTGTTGGCCAGGTGAACGTGGCTCACGATGACTCCAGAGACGAAGATGAAGCAGTGCCCCGGGACGGTGCACGGTCAGGAGAGGCCGTATAAGGATAAAATAAATTAAGACAAAAAAATAAAATAACAAAATATGGAGGTGCCTTGACACCCTATTTAAAGGCAGCCAACCTCACAGAGGGGGCATTTGCTCGTTGCCTTTGAAGGCGTTAGGTCGTGTCAAAGTGCGTAGTGTAAACGTGGGTAGTGTCGAATAATTGTGTAAATTAACGGTTGATTGTTTGTTCGTAATTTAGTAAAATTGCTGAAACTTTATTTTGTAAAAAGATAGTAAACCTAATTGTGATTCTTTCTTTTTTTTTAATAAATTTTTGTTATAATTGCTAAAAATATTAATAATGAAATCAAAACGGGGTCAAGTGAAGGGATCATTTACGAGAGGGTCGTCGAAAGTTAAAGGCTTCAACCGCATTGCTGAATTTGAATTTCGAATTCAATTTTTTTTCAAAGTAAGATATCACGGTTAATCATAAAACTCTTGCTATTTTACTAATTTTATAAATGCGAATGTTTGGATGGATAGATGATGTTTGTTTGAAGGTATCTCTGGAACAGCTCAACGAATCTTACTGATATTTGTCATAGATGTAGAACATAGTCTTGAAGAATACTTAGGCTACTTATCAAGTTTTTTTTCAATACCGCTTGAACGGATTCGCGGGCGACAGCTAGTGATTAATAAAGCAAATTATAGGCATTTAAAAAATATAATTTACATTTCTCATAAAGATTTTTATTTCATTTACTGGACATATAATAATATTCAACCATTTTATAAAATTAACTATCCTGAGAAAATTCAAAGAATATAACTTAAAGATAAGATATGGGTCAAAGATATTTGACTATTGAAATATCTAAATTCAGACCCATAAGATTTCCGCCTTAAACAAATATTTGTTGAAACCCGAATCCAAGGGTCACTTAGTTAAGATTACCATTTAGTTAACAGGATTAAAATAGGGAGCCTTGTAAATTTATTTATTTCTCCCATAAATACTACAACTGAGTCTTAGTGTAATATTACGATCCAGTCATTAACGTATATTAACAAATAGAGCATTTCATATTGAATTTATACAATACAACCCTACACAATAAAATATATGTAAATTTTAGTTTTTGTTTTATATCATAAGGTGGCAAACGAAAGCCACCTGAAACAGCGAAGTGACCGATGCCCAAAGACATACGCAATAGCATATGCGTTGCCTACCTTTAATCGACGGATGAGAGGATGCACAGAAAGAAAACATTTTCATGCATCTTCTCATCCGGAAAGTCCACTTCCACTTCCCATCCTTTCTTTGTAAGAAAAAGGTTAGGAAGGGAAATAGGAGTAAATTAGGCCTCCGGGACACACACTCATCAGACGAAACGCGGAATTTCTTCCACTTGACGCCTGTCTTCTGTGTGGTCGTGGTATTTCACCGGGCGAGCCGGGCCAATTCGTGCGAAGATGTTAAAGCGGGCTCTACCACTGTTATGTATATCATTGCTTAGTTTCATTAATATTATTTCTTAATTACTATGGAAATCCAATACTCAGAACATGAAAGGAAAAAACAACGCGGTATATTCTAGCTAAAATCTCTACCAATCTACCGAAAAACTTTATTGATAGTTACCGTATAAAAACCATTGAGATTTCCGATAAGGGCACAATGAAATATGATATCGCTTGCGAAACAATAGACAATATTGGATGGTCGATATTGACATGTTTGCTGTGACCCAACAATGGGACTTATAATTAATATTGCGTCACTTCATTTTATTTTTTGTTACTAGGAACATTTAAGCAGAGAAATACATTTTAACCATTTATTTTTTGATATGGTATCATCTTAGGAACAAACTGGTTAATAATTTTCAAGAGTACCCACATTTACAAAAAAGTTATGTTAACGAGTGAAATGTCATTTTATTCGTATTCGTCTAAAAAGTGTTATAAGGGTTACTTCTTTTAAAAAGAAACGACTAATTATAGCTAAAGTTATGTTAACTTTGTAAATATGTTTCTATTTCAGAGTCGTCAAGATTACCGTGCTGCGTTCCTCAACTATTGCAACAATCAGAACACGGCCGCGCTGGCAGCGTACTACGACTCGCATAATAACTACGTGCAACAGCTGACAGCAACCAACGCCATGATAGATCAGTACCACAAGCATACTCTGCCTACAATACTACAGGTAATATCTCTATAATATACCTTAGCCCTAGAGTATGCAATCACTTCGGTTAAATTTAAGCTACGCGGCCATTGCCCCACGCCGAATGCACCGAACGGCACGCAACGGATTTTAGTTAACTTTGTATGATTTTACATAGCGTTGTCTATTTTGTAAACACTATGTTGTAAACTTATATAAAAACGGCTAAAACACTCGGGTATATTTGTCCGGTGGCGGCACCGACTAGTTTCGAAGCCATCGGTGGCGTTTCATCAGCGTGAGTGGCCCGTCCCAGGACGGGCCGCGTCCGCGAATTAATACCAATCCCACTCATCCTGATGAAGGGCCCCCGATGGACTCGGAGCTAGTCGGTGCCGCCACCGGGCGAATATACGTGAGTGTTTTAGCCGTTTTTATATAAGTTTATTGTAATGTCACACGAAAATTTGAATAACTATGTTATACAGTAATAAATCGTTATTTTTATTCAAAAGGGCTTAAATTTTAAATCATAAAATTATAGTTGGAAATTATTAAGAATTTTTAATTAAAAATAATTTCCATTAAAATTGATTATATTCACGTTCATTAAAATTCCATTCTAAGCTGGAACAAATTGTGCTGGATCAATAAATGGGGCATCATAGGCTAGCGTAGTATTCCGGGTTGCATACCGAAGCAAAATCGAAATGATTAATACGTTCTGCAACTGGTAAAACACTTTATGTAATAAACTTACTATTGTATATCTATGTATTAAAAAACAATATAATAAAATTATATATAATATTATATTATAATAAAAGTTACGAATGTGACATACTATGTAGGAACAAGAGCGTAAACAAGGATGTTATGCATACTGTAAAGGATACGTAGGATTCCAACAGAATGGCATGCTCTTTGAACACTAGCTTACCGTTTATACTTAGCAGGTACAAATTGCTAGTCCATGTCTTTTCACCCTTCCTAATCATTGTTATCCTTCTCCTGTCTCTGCTCTTAATTTAACTTGATGTTAATCTATATATATAAAAATCAATTGCTGTTCGTTAGTCCCGCTAAAACTTGAGAACTGCTAAACGGAGTTATCTTATCTTGGTCTTGAAATGTTCGTGGAGGTCTATGAAATGTTTAAAAGGTTAGAAATATTCGTATAGTTGCCGGGAACTAATTAAGTTTTTTTTCATTCCACGCGGACGGAATCGCGGGCGACAGCTAGTCTTATATATAAAATTATCATGTCACACATGTTACCATAATCCTCTGAAACATCTTGAGCGATTTTTATAAAATTTTATATAGTTTATAATCCATAGCTGGCGGATACCCAGGCGACAACTAGTTAACTTATAAACATTTAATACTGCGGAGACCATTTTAAACTGGTCTTCCATATGAAAAAGGAAGCTTTTCTATCCTTTTATATCGCCTTTAACTTAGTTCTTTTACTAGATTATTATGTAGATGTGTTCTATATCCATAGTTGCACAGATTAAAAATAACATAACAAAGTAACGACAACACTATTAACGTGCAAAAACACTTATTGTTATGTAAATACGGATGGCTTGAAAATTTATAACTCCACTCCTCTTTTATTTTCACCGACCACGTTAACAAACAGCTGTATAATTCAACAGGTACATTTGCAGTTGAAAGATGGCTTGTTTTGGGAAAATATTTTATTTATATCGACGAAAATTCATCAAAACTGAATATTATTTGTATAAAGAGAATTCAAAATCATAACGATATCTCTACTCTTTCTCAAGACTTTATCATGCAAAAAGTTATATGTTCTTTCATTTTAAATTAAATATTAAGTAATATAAAAATCGCTATATTGTAGAAATTAAAAAATTAAGCAAAAATAATGATAATAACCTACGTTAGTTTTGTCTATTAATAGATCACGTTATATTTTTGTACTACAGCTTTTTTAATCGAATTAAATTTTTTGACGTCCTATAAATAAACTGGCCATCGATTTTCTCGCTACGAACACGAACCTTTGATCTTCGTATAACTAACTCTTGCAATTCACGAGACTTTCAACTTAATTTGTTGGAGAAATTTGCAGTTCTCTGTGCACTATGTCCGTCTTATTTTACCGTCCACTCTTTCTCTGCCAATTTTTCCTAACAACCTTATAAGGATGAAACAACAAAACATTGTGATATTTCCTTTATATGCACGGAGTATGTAAGCCAGTCGTTGTTCAATCTTAGTTAGGAAAGTTCAATGAGTTAGCAGGCCGCCGCAGACGTTGCACTAACTTTGCTGCGGCCAGTCGACCCGACACAAAGCTGCAAACTGAATTCATTTCCAAACTGAAATCAATGCCGACATTGCACTAATACGTAAACAAAGGGTAAAACTTTTAACAGTATTAATCTAGACATTGTTATTTTAGTATTATACAAGTAGAAGCTTATATATGGATTGTGTTATGCAAATGAATTTAATTAACTGCTGTTGCATACGGTCATTCAATGTACATATATTACAAGAAATCTATAACCTAATTGACAAAATGACCGATTTTTACCGTTTGTTTTTCAGTCAGTTTAAAATATATAGTTATCTCGGTTTTGTCAAAGATTAAAGACAGTGATTACGATGTTTTATATAGAGATTTTGATCTGAAAAAGCAACGGTAAATGAGGCAGGAAGACCTTTACCTTAATTAACCATAGTCATTCGGCTTAAAAGTTCATAAAGACAAGGAAAGTATGAAGTAATGAAGAACGTAATGATAAAACTCTTACTATAAGTGATACTTTGATGTAAACTGAACCGTATAAATACAATTCCTCTTGCTATTCCAATTTATATCGTATATTTGATACGTCCGTTTGTACAATTAATCTATCGGTAACGTATTCTGTTCATTCAACTCATGCAATACGCAATACGTGCCCTCAGTCATTTTAATTAAACCCATGAAAGGTGTACTGTACTAACTGTACAAACTGTGGAAATTGTTGAAGCCATTCATTCATTCACTCAGTAATTCATTCTCCGGTTATAATACTAATGCAAAAACCATTGAATTATTATACATTATTATTATTTTACTTTTTCCGAGCTATAAATTCGAGATGTTTTATATTTATAATAGTTTTTCAACATACAATGTTAAAAGGTGTTCCTTTCTCATTTTCGAGAAAAAGCCATGCATCTTCGTTTTTCAAAAACATAAAGTTTACTTCAAACAACATATCATCTTCTTTTATTATGTAGGTAGTTATATCTGACCTCTTTTTGCAAATAAAACATACTCATAAACCGCTTTAAAAGAAAGTGTCAGGCCCTAATTTGACTAATTTTTCAAGCCACGACCATAGATCAAGAAAGCGTGAAATTACATTAGCATTTTTTTATCACACCCTTAGTTAGCTGATACGATGCTTTATGAATAATAAGATACTTTACTGCATAATTTTAGTGTGACACTTGAAATGTATTTTTATTGCAGGAACTTGAAGAGATACTGACCGACGTGACAGCAGCTGTTAGTGAAGCTATTTATCAGGGCGGAGAAATTATCACAGATAGAGTAAGTAGCAGACAAAGAAAGAGATTTATAATGTTTAAATTAGCTGGTTTTAACTTTTTTTCTTTTGTTTGTGTGCAGTGCACAAACCAGTTGCGTCGCTACGAGTCGCTATGCGCGCAGTCCCGCGCTGTGTCGAGCACCGCGGATCTGGCGCACCTGGCAAGGGCCCTCCTCACCGCTCAGCCGCCTGCCCGTGCTCCCCTCCGCGCCTTCCTGCCGCCCTACCCGCCGGAGCCTGACGACCCGCCCATCGACGTGCCCGCGGTAAACACAAATATATTATGCCTAAGTGTCTTGTGTTAAAATAGCATCGACTTTCGATAGCAAGTAGCATTGAAAAAAATGCTTTGTAAGAAAAATAAAATGTTATATTTACTTATTTCAAATCAAATTCTCCTGCTATAAGGTCTCTGATTTTTTAAATCATTAAACAAACTAAATTCATTTGTAACAAATATTTTCATATTCAAAAGGAAACAGAAACGTAATTGGCAAATAAAGGTAGAATTTCATTCGGCCTTTGTTATTGCGAGGTCGGAATATTTACAATTTAAGTACAAAGCTCGGACAACGTGAAAAACTATTTGATGTTCGTTTACAAAATAAATGTGTAGAAACAACTTCGGTGATTTCAAACCGTCAAATCAACGAAATGGAAAAAGTCAATCGAATGTAAAATTTTCTCTGTCGTCCATCTTATTCGAAAGTGATTTTGTTTTTTATTATACACTATGAAGGAAAACTGTTTATGGGATATTTTAACTAGATTCTTTCTTTTAGTATGATTTAATGGTTTGTGAAAGATGTTTGTTGAATCAACTTATCTAACGGATAGAAAACCCTCTCCTTGCAAATCCCTCCCAATTGAGACCGAATGAGATCACAAAGTCAGTTAATCTTTTGGCATAAATTCCAGTAATTAAACTACCCTACAAACCGATTTTAATGAATCTTTTACTAAAATATGTGTTGTTTAGGAGACTATGCCGCCAGTACTTCGAGGCGAAATGTTGCTTGACCGCATGGATATACGGGAGGCGCGACTTAACTACGAGCAGTTGAGGAAAGACGCGCAGGATTTGGAAATGCAGATTAAGCAGTTACAGGTCAGTAGTTCATACAAAAATACAACTTAAAATTTAGGGTATGAACCCATTTATAAATTTGAAATATGTATATATCACTGTTTATTAAAGTCAAAAGAGAGAATGAAAGAATAGAACCTTTAATATGTTCCATTCCCTTCTTAAGTATCGCAAGTGCGATAGTATTCCCCCAAAGACCAAGCCAATAGCCAAAACTATAGCTAATACAATACCACAAGGAATTATCAGTTTTTAGTCAACTATTGTTATTATTAAACTTATGATTTTCCATCTTATTTAAAAAAAAGTATAATAGTTAATACTCGATATAACACAACACAAATTTCAAATCTTAAATCGCAATGTTGTTACATATAAAATGTTTTCTAAAAAAAAACTAAAAATATTTTGATATCTTAGAGAATGTTTTAATAAAATTTCACTTTATCCTATCAGGACGGGCTGGATTCTCTCGCGCGCATACAAAGCCGTAACCTGGAGAATAATCTCTACAGCAAAGTCAACGAGATACAGGTAAATTATGTAAACAGCTCTTTAAAGGGTCTACAGGTAAAGGGGATTGCGGACTTTGACATTATAATTTAGTTAGTCTATTCTACGCACAAGATAATTGAATTCTAATATAACATTTTCAATGGATAGGTCATTGACTAAACGACGGAAAAAGTTAGAAACCAAGAACAATTCTTGTCTGGATTGCCTTACTTCTTTTTAATAATATAAATGCGAATATTAGATGGATGTTTGTTAGAAGGTATCTCCTGAATGGTTGCATGGATCTCACTCGAATTTGGCATAGATGTAGAACATATTCTGGAAGAACACATAGGCCACTGAAATTTTTTTTTAATTCCGCGCATACGGAATTGAGAGCAACAGCTAGTTGGTTGTATACACAATAAAAATTTTCGATGGTGGTATGGATATCAAAGAGCAATACCAACCCAACGAAAATTATTTCCTGTTCACTTCTTTAGTATTAAAATAAAAAGATTGAATGCAAATTGTGAGACATCAATGTACGTTATGGATATGCCAGACACGAACAAATTCTGTTGCCATGACATATTGCGTGACAAAATATAATTTGTTTTTTTTTAGCGATATTGATAAACCGACCTAACCTAAAATGACAGAGTAGTTAGGAATTTTAATGTATTACACTTGTTCTAATAAGACTGAAATAAGCAATAACTAAAATGTAAACTAACTTTAATTATCTATGAACACATTTCTTTGTTTATAAAAACAAAATTATTAATTACATACCTTATGTATGTGTTGTATGGATGACTAGCTCTCGCCCGCGACTAGTTTTCCAGAATATTTTTTACACCTAAATTTCAGCAGGATCCATGCAGCCGTTCTGGAGATACCTTGAAATATATCCGTCCATCTATACATTCATATTTATAATATTAGTAAGATGATATGTGTGAGATGATGATGACGATATTTTAATTTTGAATTACCTAATATTGTTTTTTTATTTCACATGTACATTCCTAAGTATTAATAGCGACATCTATTGTGCTGTAGCAAAAATATTTCGCTGACAAGAAATTTCGTAACGAAGACCAGTCCATGTATTTCGCTAGATAGAGTTACCATTGATAAATGTTAAAAAGAAACTGCAATTATTAAAAAAATAATAACACGATTAAAAAATTCTTCTTTAAATTATGAATAACTATTTTGTAAAACTTTAATAATTGTGCAAAGTAGGCACATGCTCATTTTTGTAAAATAAACTGTAAGCAACAGTATATTATACTATATAGTATTATACTTGCTGTATCCTACGACTTCGTCCCCGCGAAGTCATAAAAAAACTTAATTTAAAAAAAAAAACTAAATTAATAGTGTACGTGTTCTTCAGACTATGTTCTCAATTCAAATTTCAGCAAAATCTGTTGAGCTGTCTAGAGATACCTTCTAACAAACTTCCAAACTTAGGCATTTCCCAAATTAGTAAGATACTTATAAAATTTAATATTTTAGGAGGATATTTCGCTGAAGAAATACGACTACAGAGCAACTCAGCTACATTTGGCGGCAGTCAGAGCTCAGGTAAGTGTATTTACTTAAAAATTGAACTATTAAACCACTATTAAATGGAAATCTTATGTTAAATTGTAAGTAATTTTCACTTGTATCTTTCAAACTAGATGAAACATGTCAGTTTTAATTTGTATATGCAAGTAGAACTGTTACGACTAATGTTTTCTTTGGCAGTTTATAAGTTACGCGTATACTGGCATTAAATAGTAAAGTATACCGAATAATTAGAAAAAAAATGCACTAACGTGCACAGTTGTCATACAAGAAAATAATTTCCTTGCCCAACAAATGGGTAATGAAGAATCTAACCATAACGTTGAAAATTATTCTTTTTTTTATTACCGCTGTGACCAGACAATGGTAATATTAAGGAATAAACATGTTGGTAATAACGCATGCGCTCTGAATAATACACTTTATCCACATTGTAGATAAATGTTCATTAAATTATTGTTTATTATTAAGAAAAATATAACTTATATTTACTCCCACAAATTACTATATATTATTTATATTATAATGTTATTCATACAGTCGAAGTTAATTACGATCACCATGGAGATGGGTGCAATTTTTGTATTGTTTTTTTTTCTTTTTCATTTGAACAAAGAACAACAGTATTGACATTAAGCTAAGGATATTTTGTACTGTGTCGCAATGCGCACAGCCTCCTACAGTTCGTTCAGTCTGAGAAGAGATCTCGCGGACTAACATAACCTAAAAATTCACACTACGTAACCTATTCGATTATATTTATATATTCGCAAAAAAGACTATTATTTTCCGTCCAGTAACAGTTATAATTAGTTCGCAAAAACGGATAATAAAAGAAAAATAAAATACCGTGCAAAGATGGGGTGGATTTCTATGAAAAATCATATGGTAAGTGTTATTTTTGTTTACGTATTATTTGTACAAATAATTAACATTTATTTGGTAAAAATATAGTGTATTTAGATGAGTGTATATCGAAAGATGCCCATTGTGTGTTTTGGTTTAGTTATAGTATTAGTTTTTCATAGTAAAAATAATCGTACTAAAAATAACTGATTCTTTCTTGTGAAAAAATTAATTTAACAAAATATATAGTAAATTAGATAATATTTATTTCATTTTCCAGCATATAATTAAACATTTAAATTTGTTCGAAAAACAACATATAATGATATGCAAACAAATACATATATGATTTGCGACCTTAAGTTTACAGTTTTCTAATAAAACAAAAATTTCAGCATTTTTGTAATATGGTATCATTAAATTGTAAATCGTAAAAACATGAAATTGAATTTTAAATGTAAAGTGCTTATGTTCATTTCATTTTCATAGCATTTTAATTCAAGTTAATATTTAGATAAAACTTATTCTAAAATACTTTTACTACTTTACTTAACACCTATTTTTATATAGGTTTCCAAATAATGCAAAAATTATCTACGACCGTAGCAAATTCTTTAAAATTAGACTCTAGAAGCTAAATGAAGCGAGCTGTAGACGCGAACCCGTGCTCAACAATTTTCCCGCGCCGCGTCATCGCGCTGCGACTTGTACGCCATAACGTGTTAATTCCGAACTAATTTACGTCACAAAATGACAAGAAGTCTGAAGTGAAGTTGGCCCATAGGCAATTCAGTTTAGGTTATTCTTATTATTCTGTATCTGTGATTAGGCTTTTCTATAGTGGGATGTGCATGTTGTGTTGTTGTGATCGTAAAAGTTTGAAAACGGATAGATTAATAAAACACCAAAGCGAAAATTAAAGAAATCCGTACCAACAATTTCCAAGGTAAGATTGTGTGTGTTTATACTTTTTATGATTATATAATGTAATGTACCGTAAATAACTAACGCTGTTTTGATAAATTACACAATGATATCAATGATTGATCGTAAAGTTTTAAGGCTATAAAAATTACTTATAATATTCAAACTAAACTCTTGAACGAATACGTCATTATTATCTTGCTGCGTTTTGAAATAATATGATTATAACCTCAAAATGCATATCTATTAAACTTTATATATATCCAATTAATAATTTTCTAAGTCAAATTCAATTTTGTAAATCTTAGTAGCGCCTTCAAATTGTTTGTTTAGTACAAAAGTCCTGTTTACTTGTCCAAACGATTCATTTAACATTTGCGCGGGAAATTTTATGACGTATCGTAACTTTCCATTATTTTAGTACAAAATTTGTATTAACTTTAACTATTTTACCGTGTATTTAGACTAATACAGCTAATTTTGATTTATTGTTTTTTCAGGCGAAATACAATTTGTTTAATTTTACGAGTCCACTTTGGTTATTATGAAACCAATAACGATAAAAAGAAACAGTAATCATTCCGAAGATGACCTTGTACGATATAAAATTAATAAAAAATACGTCAACAATGCTAATAAATCTCCTGCCAAGATAAAAACGAAGAAAGAAAGTATGGCTAATGATGATGACACAGTCCGTTATAAATTGCCTAAAGTTTCAACAAAAATGAAACAAGAGAAGAAGTCAAAAGCAAAACCAAAAATTAAAGTAAATTTTTGGAGCAAAAAACTAACTAATCGACTAAAACATTCTGAAACCAAGAGAACTGAATCTAATCTAAAACAAACGGATGAAACATATAAAAGCTCTTTGTTAACTAAACCAAAATCTATAGAAGTTAAGGTTCGAAAGCAAGTATCATTCCTTCCTTCGCCTCTCTTCTCGGACAACCATGATCCAATGGTTACCGTGCCAGATGATTTAACATTACAATTAAATGAAGAGGAAGCTAATGCCTTACATGATGATTTGAACCACACTAACACAAATAATGCAAGTAATAATGATTCAAATAAACTTAATGATAATAAAATTTTGTCACCCCAAGTAAGTCCTAGAAGTAACAGACATAAAAGAAACCTTAATAACAATGAAACAAAGAGTCAGGGTAATGAAAATGAGCTTGAATATTTCTCCAAATATATCGTTCAGAAATTAAGGAGAATGGAAACAAACCAGCGGATATATTCCGAGAACCTAATAAACACTGTCCTAATGTTGGGACAGTTAGGAAAATTAAATGGAAAATCAAAAGTTAGTGAACCATGATAATAGGTTTTTTTTACTTAGGTTTATTAGTTTATGTTTTCACTTGTTACAACTGCCTTCCAACATTTATGTACAAACTTTAAAATTAATTGACATGTTCTTGGATTACACTGCTGTGAAACTTGTATCAGCTCATATTCTTTCATTCTAAAATAGTGAATATGAATACAAGTGTGACAGCAATGAAATTCTACCTTAATATTGTTAGTACATATTTAATAATACAAACACAATATTTACCATTAAATAACTAAAGTACATATCTTTGTTGTTACCATTTACTTAATATTTTCTATTCTAATGTTCTTTAAAAAATATGAGCCCTGATGATTGAAGATATGTCAAGATTTTTTTTTTATAAAATCTTGATCTTCTGAATCTTCTATATTTTTTTTTATAACAGAAGGGGGCAAACAAGCAGCTTTATATGACTTGTTAAAAGGAAAATGCACAATTGTTTAAGGGTTATACTATGAGTATGTAAATATAATATTGATATTATAAAAATATATATTTTAATACTTTACAATGTATTTATATTTTTATATAACTAATTTGGTCTCATTATGTAAATTTGAGATAAATATAACTAATGTTAAGTCCATTAAAAAAAAATGTTTATAAGTAATTTAAAAACAAATATTTTATTAAAGTTTACCAATATACATAGAGTTAAGTCTTTTCACTATTCTGTGATGGCATTGTGCGAAAGAATAAGTTTTTGAGTTTACATTGTTTTAATGCTTTTATACAAAAACAACGAAATGTTTAGTTAAAAGTATTTTAGCAATTGAAACAATGGTTATATTAAAATAAGATAGAACATGCTAGAAAATAAAGTTATCATAGATATGTAACTTTTAGATTGGAATGTTTTATACAAGTTGATTTTTGACATAATTTTGTAACAAAGGTCCTCCGGAGACCTTTTTTAACTTGAGTGCTCCGGATGAAGTGGCTACATGTTGTTAATCTATGGAATTAATCATGTATATTCCATTTAATGGTTGATTAAATGAATTAAAACTTGTACGCATAAATAACGATTGTTGAATTTTGAATAAATATTAAAGAAGGTTCCGTTGTTGTTATTATAAGATGACTTGAATATATTTTTTTTATTTAACACAATTACACTTGGCAGTTACTTATTTATTAAATTTTTTTTTGTTCCTTTTGTTTTGTTTTCCAAAACTTGTTACAAGTGTTCGCTTGTACTGCTTGGCTTTGCCTTATCTTATCCTATATTTTATTATGCACAAATTTAAAACTAATGATTTTCATTTTGACTCAATACTCCATTTCCTCCTTTCTATCTTTGTTGTTAATATGAAATGATAGCATAACATTTTATATGTCATTGGAAGTTCAGTGGAGTTGACCTTGAGTTTCAACTGAACTTATTCCATAGCCAAACCAGGGATTTTTGTCGCTACAATATTTCTTTTACCATTTCAACTAAGCTCATGTTTATAGGGTTCGAATCGAATACGACAATAGTCGGATGCCCGCCATTTGATGCCGCAACCACGCATTAAAATCATTCATTAGATATTGGCGCTTTAAATAAATATAGTCAACCATCCTCTTTAAATAAAAGGATGACAAATTGTTTTTATACTAGTATTTTTGTTTTGGATCCACAGTTAGAAAAAAATGTACCTTTTAGTATATTAGTTCTTAATTAGTCTAATTGAATTAATTTGTTTACCACACGCCAACATGTTCGGCTTTCGGACTGTTGCTATGCCCCTATACGAATAATCATAGTAGAATACACTAGAAAATTATGTATATTTATGATACAAATATTTGTATTTGTTTTGAAATATGTTTATTATTCTATTGAGAGTTAATTTGGTTTTTTCGTGTGATTCTTTTTTCTTTTTTTTTGCTTTAGTTTTTTCAAGGACAATGAAAGTGACGTCTATATTTTTTCATATATTTCAGCAGTGGATAAACTTCTTAATACTACTAAAATATTACTATTGCTGTTTTGTGTGATTACTTAAAAGTATACGTATACCTACTCATGGGTAACATTGTCCTACAAAATCGTACTATCTTTTAGGCTGTTATAAGCATTATTAGTAGATTGACATTTTTGGTCAAACATAATATGTTTCCTCTATAAAGTTTATCCGTGATTATATCGTTGTATTTTTTTACCCGACTGACAATATGTTAATGTTTTTCGCGCGTATGTAAGTTTGTTTTTTGTACTATATGGGTTTGTATGTATGTAAATTACATTGTGACAGATTACAGCTAGAGCCTAAACGACTAAACCGATTTTGATGAATGTCGTTGCATTCGGTTCCTCTTCTTCCCCTGAGTGACATTACATCGGCACAAAATACATGCAGTGGATGTAGGGAGTAAACTTCAAAATCGTATTCGTCATAACTCTTTATAGTGCTAAATTATTCTTTTTTGAGTATATTCTATAATAAAGCGTTTTATGCAGTCATAGATTATTAATTTTAATTTAAATGGGAAAGTGACATTCAATGTTTTCTAAATATATTATATTCATGAAAATAAATCAAAAAAGGAACAATGAATGTGACTTAACAGTACTGAATTAAATGAAATGAAAATCAAACTATCTTTTGCATACTTATATATCTTTTGTTTACATTACAATGCCTATTTGTCGCGTAGAGGTCTACGTGTGGGGTGACAGTTTGTGTAGGTTTTTTTTTAATTTATCCTCCCAGCAGTGAAAGTTATGCTCCATCTGAAGTTGAATATGTATATTAGTTTACTAGCTCTAAATAATTGTACATTATATCCCCACCATCCATCCCAATTTTAAATGCAGAATGCGTATACCGTTTTAGTTCCCTCTGCGGAGCTATCTATTTACCAGCTGACTCCATTTGAATGTGTCAAAGGAGGCCATTCGTTCTGTTGACTTTGGAATTTACGATAGATTTTGTGCCAGTACGAAAATTGCACTGTATTTTCGTGTTCCACCTTAGCTTTTAATAATTTATGTACTTCATTTACACTATTGAATTGAACTACAAGATAAGTGAAATCAGTCTTCCAATTGTATGTTGGTGGGGTATTATTGGTTGATGATAGACTAAATACATTAGTGGCTGCTTAATTATATCAAACAGATTAAGGTCAAACCAATTAACTCCAACCTACTTGTTTGTCTCCGATTAGAGAACAAAAGAATATTATTATATAACTCATCGTTTTGTCAACATTTATCACCCAACCCTAATAGTTAACAAACAAATATAATATTGATAATTAGTAAATCCTTAATTCTATTGTCATTATAAAATCGACCGTGAGTTAGTGTGGTCGTTTCCAATAAAGACTCTTTCATTTGTGGAGAGAATTGTAAGATACCTAAAGCATATAGGTCTTTCAATCAAAAAATTAGGTGTTGTTAGAAAACGGTTGCCGGGCGACGCCAGAAATCCGCTACGCTACATCCGGCGGCTCGCGTCGCTAACTTGCAGTGCCGTTAACGGCAGTCGTATCACGCCCGTCGTTTCAGATGGACGCGTGCCGCGCTATAAAAGCTTCGCTCTATCACGTGAATCTATCTATCAGCATACTCCTTTGTTAACTTAATTACAACATGTGACTGTTGAATTATGGTTACTTTTTAGTTTTTAACTTTTACAGAGTTTTATCTCTATTAAATTTTTATTAATTTTCTATAAAAATATTTATAATCATTTATCCCTTTAATGTTTATAATTAATTGAATAAGCATATTAAAAAAAACATAATGGATTTAGTACATCGATTGCATTATCTGGTGCTGTCCCAAAAGTCCGATCTCATGACGATGGAAAGGGAACAGAGGATGCGGATGCGACGCCAGTCTAGCCTGCCCGAGTACAGTAAAAATAAAAATCGACAGAGATTGGAACAAGCCTATTTCAATGATGTAAGTTCTTATACCTTATTACTAGTTGCCACAATAATTAAAATGAGCTAAGGTGCTCATTATTGTACATATTTGTGTTTATACTAAAGTTATTTTAATTTTTTGAATCCTAATTACTTGAATTTCTTTTGGTCTCCACTAGGCAAGCCGAGAACCAATTTTTAAATATTTTCCCAAAGTTTTGCCGCGGCTTTCTCAGTCACCTTGACAATAGGACCAAGTCAAAAGTTCTTTACGGTCAACTTCTTTGTAGAATCGATTTTCTACAATTATAAATATAAGAAAGATTTTATCATGCGATTTAATTTTACAAGAAAATACTCATATTTCGTATTCTTTAGCTTTATATGGCATGTTGAGTTTAAGAAAAAAAATTCCACGACTGCTTTTTCAACAACTATTCGTAACGAAATTGCTTGCTTTTACTACTATTTACTAGGCGCAAATGTCCGAATTTTTATATTTTTATAACTAAACAATATTTAATTAAAACACCGATAACGTAGCGGTTGTCTGACTTCGTATTTTCAATTCCGTCTCCATTGTTTTAACTAATGAATTTATATTTGTATATTATATTTCATAGCCAAATTTTACTCCGCACTTTTTCAACGTGATCAGTTCGGTCGTACTGAAAATACGTTGTAACAAACATCCCACCATCTACACTTTCGCATTTATAATATTAATAAGATACTAAAAAACTAAAAGTAGTATGTAACAATTTCCTACAAATATTTATACTAATTCTTAATTTCCATCTGACTCCTAATATGTTATAGAGCATAACATACCTACAAATTTAGACAAGGTAAACTAATAGACGACGATTTGCCATAGTTTCTTCAAAGGCCAACGCTTGCTATTCTAATCTTTATATATATGATTCTTCTGTGAGTGTGTATGTCACTGAACTTCTCTCCAACGACTGGACCGATTTTGATGAAATTTTTTGTGTGTGTTCAAGGGGATCTGGGAATGGCTTAGATTCGCAATTTTCATCAAATATTAACTTCATATTAGTTTATTCAAATTAAAGACGTGTAGACAGGACAACGTCTGTCGGGTACGCTAGTAGCTATGTAAAATAAAAAGAAAACATAAAGCTTAAATGTTATCTTTTCGTGTTAAGTACATTCTGATTTCTTTAGGGTATACAAAATCACTTTATTCAACAACATTCGCAAGCATAATTATTTCTTTGACGCAATCTTCTAACTTATTCGAGGAATATAAATTAGCTAAATTTCGTCAACAAACATCTTACAAAGAATACAAATTCGTTTTACTAGATTTGTCAAATTAAATTTCCATTCGTCTGATCTTGAGTGCTTTGGTGAACGGTGGAGCATAGGATTTTTTTAATCGTAAAATGTTTTATTTTTTTCTTTGCTAATTATGCTATTGTGAGATGTAACTCTTTCAAATAATTACATTTTTAGACAGA